ATATCTCTCATTTTTTCTTACTTTTTCCATTTTTTGCTTTCTTCTTTTTTGAACAGAAGAAAAAATGGATTCTTTGATGGTAAATAATATCCTTTAGGATATTAATATCTCATAATATCCATTTCCATCGATCATCACTAATTCATTATTGTTTAATTTTTGAATTACCTCAGCGATTCTATCCATTTTCCCTCCCACTTTTAAAATTATTCCATGTCTTTGTATTGATTTGTTGAATTAAGTACAACGAAAAATTGAAATTAGTTGACTGGAACTAATAAAAAATTTCAAGTGTAATTAGAGTTTGCCGAACATTCAACTGATTGCCTTTTATTGATGATAAAATGAATGTTGGATAAGCTTATGAATGATTATGATGTTTTCGACGGAAGATGAAACCTTTGTGCATGTCTGGACGAGGATATGGTGATACGCAAGCCTGAAGCTTTTGCAATTATTCCAACATTCAATATTGCATATATTGGAAACAATTGCTCAACTTTCTAAATGAGCCACTTCTTCATATCAATCGTTTCAATCGTTCAATTTTGTCGAACCGATGATCAAGTTATCGATAGATTCTGTAGCTCAGTTGATAAGGAAGTAATTCATTATTAAGAAATTTCAGTTAAAAGATGGAATAATTTAATGTAAATGGAAAGATTTCATCAATGTGTAAAATTTTAAACTACGATCTTTATGATCAATGAATCACAATGTTGGTAATCTTTTAAGAATATCAAATGATATGATAGGATATAGTAGATATCCTTGAAAGAACAAAATGAATTGAAGAATGGAAATGAGAGCTCATATAAGTTATACAAAGACAGGTTAATTAGACAATAATTAAAAGGTCATATTTCAATAGCATATGCTCAGAAAGTTGCCCATAAATAAAAAGAATAATTAGCAAATTTTGCTGTTCAGCAAAATTTGCTAATTATTCTCATTCGACAAGATTGATCTGAACTTAGGATTACTTTAGTAACAAATGAATGAAGCGGAAATGCTTGATAATCAGTGGTACATATCCCTTGATTATTATTACTGTCTTCACCGAATATGATTTATGAAATGAATAGACAGCAACCTTCCTCGGTGGCTGATTTCACCTGTTGTTGATATCTTTTTCTTAACTGATTAATTTTGTGCAAGCAATAAAAGAAGAGACTTGAACTAAACTTTGATAACATAATGTTTTATTTTATCATTTACATTTCCATTGAAATACATAATTTAAATTAAAAACATTATAAACAGAATTAGAATAATTACGTAGACATATACATGATCGTGCTCTTAGTCGTTTTTGTTATTCGTTTCACTCTAAACTTCGAAATTTTCATATATGCGAAAAAAACTTTTTGCTAAAAGTTTTAAATTATAAAAATCGTAGTCATACCATCTTAGTAGTCACTAAGAGCATTAACAAATGGCATTAATAATGCAATGCTTATAAGAAAGAAATCTTAGAATACACTTTGAGCGGTATAGATCAAAATATTACTATTATTATCACTCACTACTAATCAATCAACTGGTCGCCGCCATCCAATGCTCAACAATTTAATATTTAGCGTAGCGGCAAATACTTCACAAATAAGCCAATTGTTAGGATCGTAAATATTACGAACTGACATATTCAAACGACAGAAAGAGCTAAATTGAACCAATCCATAAAGCGTAGAGATTGCTAATAATCATTTCCCCGCCTCAATTCGAAACAAAATTTCCACACTTCAGAAATTATTGAATTCATTAATTATCATTGTTACTTTTTAAAAAAAAAAACAAATGCGTAAAATTTATAGTATCATGGATGTTTTTCTTTTAAATAATTCCGATATCATTGAATTACAAAAATGATGAAATTCGGTTTCACTCAAAATTTTAAAACTTAAATTACATTTAATTATATATTTTATTTCGGTCAGATCTACGAATTCTCGCAATATTTTAATATTATAGAAAGTTTAATAGAAGTTTAACAAGTTTAACTTTCCGAACAGTTTTACTAAAACGGTTAAATAGTACAGTATGTCAGGAAAATGGTTTTTCACGACTTTCTCGATTTTCGGGTTTGGTTTTTCACGAATTTCATTGGGTTCGGTTCTTTGTAACAGATGAAATGACGTGACCATGGTAAAATACATAATTTACAAAATATATAATCATAAAAGTTAGTAAGCAATTAGTCAATCTTCTTTTCTCGCTTTCTGATGATTATGTATTTACAGTCCAATCACAGTCTTCCCTCATGAGATTTAATTATGCTTTTCAAATTAACAAAACAATTTGAGCCTCTCAATCAAAATCACCAAATTTTCTGTTAGATTTAAATAAAATGAATTGAATCATTCATCGAATGATCTCAATTCTTTTATCTTCCGATCCGAATAAGATAAATAAATTCATATCATCAAATAAATGAGTGATAAGAGAAAGTCGTCCGAAAAGTAAACAAATATGAAATGAATAATTGAGAAGCAGAGAATTAAAACTGATAAAAGATGTTTACATGAATTATTTGAAATTTCATTCTTCAAGAATAACAAAAAAAAATGAAAGATATGGCGTTGTAAAATTTATACATACAGATGAATGAAATATACAGATGGCATTAATTGCTTAACGAGACAAATGGTAACGAACAAACAAGCAATTGAACTAACAGTAATAACCAATCGAAATGAATAAGCAAACTGATTAGAATGTGAAACAAATAGAATGTGAATAAGGAAATAAGCTAATGATAAGCACTTAAATGATTGATTAATTGAATAAAAATTAATTGGCTAATTCGGAAAACCGCAAATAACGAACCCAAAAAAATTCTGATAAAAAAAAGCAACAAAATAAAACTTTATTATAAACGATGAAACTTGGAAGATACATGCAATTTCAATTTTGTATGCATGAAAACTTTTATGAATTTATCATTTTCACTAGACAATGCTGATTTAAATGATATCAATGCTTTGTTTTATCATTTAATTTATATTTATTAAAGAAGAAAACAAATGCCTAATATGAATTTGCAAAAGGAATATAATAAAAGAAAGAAATTAATGAATTCAAACAATGACTAACTTTTTCACCGTTTAATTTTCAATCATTGAGCTCTGAGAAACAAAGAAAGAGATGGAGAAAGAGAAAGAACGACGAAGGGTAAGAGATAGGAAGAAAGGAAAGAGATGAAAAACAAGATTAGTTGTACTAGTTGCATAAATGCTATCGAAGATCATAACCGACCGAACAATTATTTAATCTTTGGAATTAGCGATGGAAAAGAAAAAGGAAAAAAACAAAGAAATGATTAATGTTGCCGTAGTTGGTTGGCCAGGTATGCTGCTTGCTGCTGCAAAATACCTTTTCACCTCGTTGAAGGTATCTTTAGCTAATTTTTAGATAATATTTGAATACTCAACTTAAACGACAGATACCAAGATGTTGAGGGAATAAATGCAGAAAAATTGATATACAACACTGCAAAACTCCAATCTAGGTAATACATTATTCGGGTGACACGATTACAACGCATTTGGACCACATCCTTTTAATGTGTAAAACTGTTGAACGACAGCTACGGTTTTCGCACCACATTTAATATTAAGCTTATTAAGTTCCCATTTTCCTTGTATTTACTTATTATACACCTGACTTTAATCGGATTTGCCCCTCGATATTATAACTCCTCACCTTAGCTTTAAATATTCGAATTTCCTGAGCTTTTTTTTTGACATACTACCCAGCACACACATGTTTGCAATTTTAGCACTTTATTTTGTTTCATTATTAAATCAGTTCCTTAAACCTTCCATCTTTTTTTAAAGCTTTTTATTCGATGTAGAGCTTTAAGCGACAAACAAGAGTTTACAAAGAAATTTGAAAATAGATTACGAAAATTATTTCTGAGCTTATGAAATCACATTCCAAAAGTCAGAACTAAATTAGTCAAGGCCAAATAAATTACAAAAAGAGTAAAATCAGGTGACATGGTTTAACTGCACTGTATTTATATGAGTCGAATTAACAGACAATAAAATAAATTTTATTTCAAAACTAAGGAAGTACCATGACCAATTTGGAAAAGACCTTTAGCATAAAATCAACATTTCAGCTATTCATCACATTTCGAGAAGCTAAATTTGAAATGAAGCAGTAAGGAAAAATGAATAACGAAATTTCTATTAGTTATGCAAACTTATGCACTTGTTTTCAGTGGATAACAAGACGAAAATTAATCCGCAGAAGATAGGCGTAATAAATTTGAGGTCAGGGAAATATTTCTGAACTTAATAAAATCATATCTCAAAATGAAGTTACAGCTTGAATATTCAATTAAAATCAAGGACTTATATGAGAACATTACCTTTTGTAGGTAAGCAATAACTTCCTATTTCGTAACCGAGAACTATTTTTTGGAGTTCAGAATTTCCTCCGTAATGAAATCACTGGAAGTAAAAGCCTTAAAAAAGATAAAAACAAGAAACCAATAAAAACTTTCAGTAAATCACAGTATTGGTTTAGTAAAGTTAATTCATCCGAAATATCTGGACGATTATTACTAGAGAATTGATGGAATGAAAGAGGGATAGTTTATAAAATTCAAAATCACTGGAAGTAAAAGGGCTTTTACTTCCAGTGAATTTTTATCGTAATAAGAAAAGTCCAATACAATTTCCAAAATCTTAATTTCAAATTCATAACCGCACAAAGTTGTTTTCACCGTAGAAATAATAACTTTTGATAGTTATTATGATAAAATCAAACTCTGTCCATTTCATGCATCTGTCTAATACCAATTTCAGATATAACCCAAAAACAAATTCGCAACTTATACAAATAGGAGAACATCAATAAGACAGATAATTTTACTTTCATTTAAAAGATTTAAGTTTATGAAAGAAGTAAATTCTATCTGTAGCTAAATTAAAATTCACAGTAAAATTTCGACAGATTAACCAATCAAAAAAAGGCGGCTCTTTACGTATACATCACTGCTGTCCAGTACCGCTTAGAAGTCGATCGATTGCGGCGTTTACATCACCAAATGTCGCAAGTAGCGCTATAAAATAATTATTACAGTCACCATTCAAAAATTCTAATGTTTCCCATCTTTATTTCCTGTTCGTGACAGAACCTTGTTCTGCTCTTACTTTTTCAAGAAGCTGAATAATACAATATAAATATTAATTATTATTCATTCAGTAAAAAAATCGGTAAAAAATGAAATGATAACAAATATGAAGACAGGCTTATACAATAGAAAATGTACCCACCTAAAGGAGGATATGATCATTGCAAGCAGGAAAACAATCCTTTCAACCACAGGTTTCTGCTTTCTTTTTCCTCCATTATCATTTAATGGCTACTTTAAAACTTATTCATACATGGGTTGCAAGAAAATGCTTATTCTTTGCTCTAATTCCCGTTTCATAATTTAATACTGGTTATTTCTTAAATAAACCATCTAAATATACCATCCCCAATAATACCATCCCACAAGCCTGAAGTAAGACGAAAAATCAAAATTTTAAGCTAGCTAATTAAGTAATAGATGAAACAAATTATCATCTTGGTCTGAACAATTATTATACAGGAGTTCTGATACAACCAGGGGGAAAAAAACGAGCTGAGGAGAGTGAGGTAATTATATTTAGCGACTGAACATGAATGACAGAAAAGCCAAGAACATTTTGTGATTGTCAACTAATTCTGCAATCTATTTGATTCGAGGAATCATTAAGTGCTGAGATTACCTTGAATATTCGCTTCTTGATTACTGAATCCCATACTTGTTAGCTGCTCTAATTGACTACGGTAACGCTCTTCTGGCGGTTGTGTCGATCCACCCTGAAAGTCCTTGTTTTCGGATAAGCAAAAATTCCTCAAAATGATACCAACGAACTTCACTCAAAGCGTATTTCAAATCTGCGATGGCATTAAGATTTGGATGCATAGAGATCAACTACACTGTAAAACAAGAATTATAACTTCAATCAATTTACAGCAAGTAAACTGCTGCAGTACTGCAGCATTGTACAGCCACTAAAAAAAGTAATCTCAATTCCATGCTAATGTTCTGTTTCTTATCACTGCTTGATTTTTAAAGGTCCATTGGACTTACAAGAGTTGCACCAGTCATTTGTCTAATTAAATTAAGCATCATCATTGCTTGCTCTGTGGTCGGAGCAGAGGGGGCCGTTGTTGTCGTCGTTCCTGTACCCGGCGCTGTGCCAATTGTGGTTGAATCGCTAGAAAAATGGAAAAAGTTTGTGAAAAAAATCTCTGCCTTTTAAATTATTAGACATACACCAGTCGATCGATGATAGTCTTATAATCCACTTTTCCAATTTGAAGAATGAGAAAATTTCTAATTTTATCATCATAAGTAAATGACGAGAAAGTGTACCTGGTAGTGGTACTAGGCGTCATTGTAGTTGCCGCTGGAGCAGTTGGAAAACTGGAATGTTATGAAACGATATTATATGAATTCTCATTCACATATTACATGAATTCCTATCATTTTTTTTACGTGAATAGTAATGAAAAAAAGATCTTACAATCCAGGAGGTAAAAGTTGTGGAGCTTCACGACGTAAAGTATCCATGCCAGTATGAATTTGATGGAATGCTTCAAGCACTCTTGGATTAGAAATTGCTCGCAACATTTCTGGATTTTGCATCTGAAAATTTGATACAGAAATGTTGAAACCGGTCTGTAGATCCTATAATATATAAATAAGTTCCGTTCTTGAACGATTGCTTCTACGATAATACCCCGTTAATTACTGGTAATATAAATAAAATGAAATCCCAGCAATCAAAAGCGCCACCAAACAACTCGAAAACTGAAATAAGCGCAAATTTTGGAAATAGTTACGATGCATGCTGTTAAGGATAATTCGAAAGAAATCATAATATTTTGCTTAAGCTGATGAAAAACAAGAATTCAGCCTATCATAATATTTTGCTTAAGCTGATGAAAAACAAGAATTCAGCCTATCCCACTTCGGATTTTATTTTAAAACAAATAATTATAAAGTCATACAGTATTCCGAAAATGTGGCATAGCATTCCGTATGTACTGCTCCATAGATGATGAAACTGCGGGGCCCGACGCGAGCATCTCAAATCGTGAACAACATTATTTTGTTATAGTAGACAAAATAAAGTAAAACAAAGTAAAAAAAACTACAGACCTGTGATAATAATGACGGATTCTGTCGAATCATATTCATGGCATTAGTAAATGTCTCGCTGTTGAGCAATCGTGAATAAGCATTCGAGTCAGACAACATTGGTGGATTTTCAGGTAAACCAAGAGTATTTGCAAGTTCTGCAACGAAAAACAACAATTGCATGTAAAGAGTTTTATATATATCCCTTTACTTTTAATTCTTAGTTAATAAGGTAATCTTCATTTAATTTCACTTCCCCCCCCCCAGTTTAATTTTAATTTTAATTTAGTTCTAATCACACTCACTTTTTCCTTCTAGACAATAACGAATAGAGAATATAAAGAAGGAATGCGGAATGTTACTAGCACTGTTACACAAGACATTTCCGCCTATTGTCACTTTTCAGGAATCAACTGGAATTTTAACTCCTTAAGTTAGGTTTTCATCATTCTTGGATGCAGAGAATACAATAAAACGAATGAGAGAAGGGAAATGGAAAGAGAGAGACTAGATTGATTATTTTAGCACTTTAGTATTCGCTATTTTAGAGATACATTTTGTAATTATGCAGAACTAAATCATATAATCATTGATATCGGCAAAATAAAGCAAAAATGAAACAACCACATCAATGAAATCAACTTACCAGCCAATAAATTTGTTGAAGGTTGAGAAGCGGTGCCGTTGTCAGCCCCTGTACTGGTAGGAGCGGAACCAGACGTGTTGATAGAGTTACTCCAAGGATTTGGCAATGCTTCAGCATTTTCAACACCAGCACGTTGGCTACGTGATGCTAAATGATGGTGCACAATTATGTGACTAAAAATATTTTAGTACAAACTATTAATCACTTGACATATATGATCGTAATTTAAAAAGCAACAGCACTGCAAGAGTTGATGAATATAAACGTAACAGAAAGTATGACATAGAAAATCTTACCCATATTATTAGAATTATCTACTAAAGTTGCAAAAGGATTGTTAGCGAAAGTACTTGTTGCACTGTTCAACAACGGTTCTTGTACATCTTGATATAAACGTTGTAATGCTGCTTGTCCACCCGGAATACCCTGAAATGACCATTAATTTCTGCCTTAAGTACACCAATTCAATAGACTCTTTCAAATTTAACTAGGTTTTTCGAATTCCGAAAAATTATAATTTTAATACCAATTGAAGATTGGAAAAAAGTGAATAAGAGTAATCAAAACCTGAAGATTCCGTATTGCCTGGTCACGGCTACGCATTAACTCTTGGAACATACTCGGATTTCTTACCATCTCGATTGTCTGCCGAATAACTTCCGGATCGTTCAATAAATGGCCAAGCTCGGGATTTGACTTAAACAACGTTTGGAATTTATTAATCAGTCAAAAGCTATCCAAAACAATTATGATTTAACAAAAATTGGAGTGAGAAAAAAGATTACCTCAATAACCTGTTGAATCTGTGGATTATCAGCAATCAGTGATCGTATTATATCTGGATTGTTCAATAATGATTGAACTACTGGACTATTCGTCATTTCGCGTATTGCTTCTGGATTTTGCATCATATGTTGTGCCATACCCAGTGCACCACTCATTGGATTTCCCCCCATTGCTGCGTTCTAATTTAACAAAAAATCTTAAGAAAAACTACATGGAGAGACTTATAGAAAAGTATGTAGTGTAAAGGAAAATAGAAAACGTTAAAGTTTTTACAAAAGAAATTTAAATGTAATTTTTGAAAATATAAAACAAAAAAGGACTTACTGGTGCTGTTCCAGTTCCGGAAGGAGTACCAGCTGCTGCGGACTGCAACAGGATAATGGTAATAAAGGAAGTAAAATAGTAATAAATATAAAATTGAAATGAGAAATTTCGATGAACAAAATTTTGATAAAATTTTCCTTACCCGCTGTGAATTACGTATGACAAGATGAATGGCCATACCATCTTTAATAGCTGAAATTAATCAGTTCAGAAGATGCAAAAAAATTGAAAAGATATTGCCATAAAATACAAAACAATCAGTTTAAATACGATATTATCTTCACTTAGTTTTTACATGTATCCTTCTCTACCGCATACAAACCAATATGAACAGAAACGGGATTAAGAACGCAGTTCTAGAACTAAACATCACAATTATCGATGTTAGCTACTATTTGTAAAGGGTTTTTTGAAAAAAAAATGTCTTATAGAGTTAAAAGAGAGTCATTAAAATTCAACTTGAAAAGTTCACAAACGCAATCATTAAGATTTAACTTACAAAGTTTGGTGAGTGTTTCGTGATCTTTCAAAATCTTCCCGGAAAAGATAAGACAAAGTTTTTCGGGTGGTTGATTAATTTTTGCCGATAGTACTGCTTTAACCTAGAATATCAATCACTACAATAAAAACAATGGACATAGAATTCAATTACGACTACAATAATGATGTTTACAAGTACTTTTCTAATTGTAGCGTTAGAAGCCATCCGCGCTGTGGTGGTATTTACAACCAAACAAGAAATAGAAAAAATGTAGAAAAACTGAAAGAAAATAAAAAAATAAGCAGACTGTATGACTTATGGTACTCCCAATATCAACGGATGAAAAATCTTGATACAAGATTTTCTAAGTAGTTGCATATGAAACATAGACGATACTGCCATAATTCTGACATATCGGTAAGTTGGAATATAACATTCATGGATAGAAGTGTGAAGGTTCAGTCAATTTTCGAGAATACCCTGCTGCAGTTGTGCCTGATTCCCATAATCAATAATGGGAACATAAGATAAAAAAACATTATATGGTTTACAAAAAATATTCCGACAGCATAAACAAAAAATTTAGCTGTATGATGATTAGTTATACATTTAAATAAGTGGATACCTTTAAAACGGTAGCTTTTTCCGGCACTATAATATCATAACCTTCCGTTGTAGTCTTCACTTTCAGGCTTATTTTGTTTTGAACTTCTTCATCACTACCAGAATCCGTCATTATTGGTCCAAATTCTGGAAATTAAAAACTTACGAAAACCTGACAAGAATGCATCTCATGTAACTATGACAACGTGATGTCTAATTTAATGTGTTTCACCTATACCCATTTCCTATTACTCTCTTCTTTGGGCAAAAATAAAACTCGAAATTGCAAAACTTTTAATTCTCCCAAAATGATTCATCTCCGTACAATCGTGGACCAACTTCTATTCGTCGAACTCCACTTCAGTCATATATTTCACCATTCCATAACAATTTTCTATACCACAAAAAAAAATACGTGATCACCCCAACCACCAACTAACGACTACCTCATACCGACCGAACAAAGACCTATCACGTCCGTCGCAATATCATTTAATGTGGCCGTAACACTAGAGTCGTGGTCCGTTAAATGTAGGCATCATAAGCGATATTATGCGGAGCCCTTACATGGGATGGTCAGTCTACCACTCGGTTGTGTTTCATGGGTTGCGAGCTTAGCGGCATTTTAATTTACTTTATTAAATGTATAGATCTCATAGCTAATTGAAAAAAAAAAAATTGAAAAAATTAAAAAAAATTGAGACATTGGGTCACAGACCTCCCACAGAATTTTATTTTTTGAATTCGGATTCACTCGTAATTTTCTCCCTTTCCAGTTGTTGCTGTTAAGATTACATTAGATTCTCCCAAATTTTTTAGGGGAGGTTTTTAAGGAAGATTTTTAGGGGAGTTTTTAGGGAAAAATATGTTTTGATAATTTAAATTACTTTCGAAAGCTGAATTGCGCACCATCCTCAGCGTGAATTACCTATATTGCAGTTTATGCTCTTGAAAAGTGCAACATATTTTTAACTAAGTATATCACTTCTTATATGGGTTGCTTTATACAGACACCGTGTCATATCCTAAATCTGAATTGACTCATGCTTGTAACCTAATGTATTATATCACTAGTTCGGACTTCATGTTTTTAATTTGAATTGTCCTGCATCCGTAACTTTAATTATGTCATACCTTTAATATCACTCCTACACTACAATGACAAACCTCTAAACAACATGTTTGCTCATTGACTGGATCTATACTAAGCTCTGATCATCTCTGCTATCGTTATTTTTTGCATAATTATTCACGGGAATGTATGGTTGTCCTAGTGATCAACCTATTTAATGTCTTATCAACATTCATAGTCATATGAATAATGATCATGGAAATAATTAAAACCATAGTGTCTCACGGTCGTCATGCAGTAACCGCATGACCATGAATTTGCTCTTGAAAAGATATGGTGAAATCCGTTCCATTATATATTATTTAATACAAATTAGGTGAAATAACTAGTTAGAAACAATACAAATAAGGATAAATAATATAAATGAATGACAAAGAACCAGAAATATGCAGAGATAGTACATGAATGGTTTGTTATCGGGCACGAAAGTGTGGAAGAAAAAATTTAAAAAGAAACAAGCACGAAATTATATCATATAAAGTCTTACATCGTTGAGTTTGTTTCACCATGAGTGGCATAATTCCTAATACCGTTTCATAAGCAAATACTGAGGTGTCATTTAAATTTTACGACATTGTATCAGCTAAATCTTAATAGGACTCACCCTATCGATTAAATATGTTTACATGAAAGCTCATAAACTTCCGTATATGAAAAAGACGGAAACAAAATTTGCCTCTCGAATTCCATTTCACTTATTTAGTATTCTTATTATTAATATATTAACAAGCGCTTATGAATTATTCACAAAGTAAGCAAGCAAGTAGTAAACAACCATAGAAAATAAAAATGACGGACGCTCTAAATTGCTTAACTTTGCTTCATATTCTCCCGCATGAGTGTTACATAATTCTAGCTGAACGATGTTTCAGAGTGTCACGCTTCTTCCAAACAATTTACCGAGGTATATAAAAAAGAAAGCTTGGAAGATAGAGCACTGCAAAACTATTCAAAACAATGCAGAAAAAATTTTTACAAAAAAATTTAATGTAATGCAGATGGGAAGCGTGACATCACTTCTAGCAAGTTCTTTCTGAAAGACATCCTAGTTTTCAATTTTGTGACGCTCTTTATCATTGTAAATCCACGACGAATTCAAATTTAGCTTTGGCCTATATGTAATTATTTCTAAAAGAAATATACAATTCATGCTGCATAGTTGCTTGACCCGTAGTTGTTATTTTGAAAGGAGATGGGAGAAAACAGAAATGAAATGACTTTTAATGCTACCTCCTTGGATCTTTGGTGTTGATTTTACTACTAATGCAATCACTGGTTCCAAAATGGTCAAGATGTGGTGGTATCGGTGGTGGCCGCATAAATGATGTGTGAGATGCACACGGTTCACTGATAACGGCTGAGAGAGGCTTGATTTCAAGGTGTCCGGACGGTGGACACAATGAAGTAAACAATGGTGCTGGACCGTTCAAGAGTGGAGTAGAATGAGATGAGAAGCTAGCTGATGTTCCAGACCATTGTGACGAACTGGCATTAGAACTACACGGACCAGACATATGACGGAATTCCTGCCGATAGTCACGATCACCATGGTCACGATATACATCCGTGTAGTTTCGTTCCCAGTACGAAGTTCGATCACCTGAAGAAATTTCTTGGTACACTTTATTGAGATGAATATATTTCTGCACTCCAATACTGTATACTTCAAATTTTACGGATACCATAAATTACCATTACTACAGACCATTGCAGGTCAACCTGGAGAAAATATCAGCTTGAAAATGACATATTTTTTACGTCATTTTCAAACTGATATTTTCTTTTTTAGGAGACAAAATGAAATTACAGGGATCAATTCTGGCCTACAAAAACCCAACAAGATAAGGCATACTAATAAAAAACAAGGCATACTAATAAAAAAACCGCAAATGAAAAACTTCATGTTCAAATTTCCAAACATACCTTTGTCGCGATAGTAAGTATGCTCTCGCCGATGTTCCCTGTAAGAATAGTTTTCATGTCGTCCACTTCTTGCTCTGTCTCGATAGCTTGTGTGACTATAATGAGTGCGATGAAGACTGCCACTATTGCTGCTACCGTAATCCGTGCGGTACCGATACGATGAATCCTTGTAACTATCACTCTCATTTTGGTTCGAATATAATAAACTGGATTGCTGTAATTGCGATACCGATGGCTTGTAGGTGTCAGAGTCTTCGTTTATTATAACCGATTTCCTAAATTTATTTCAAATTTCAGTCTTAATTGTAAAAAATTGTCCAGACATCAGTTGAAAATTCTAACACTGTACTTTTTATTTTCAGGAATGCAAATTAACTTACCCTTGGAAAGCCATAAAATGTTACAATCATTTGTATATACTACGTCACAGATTAAAATTGAATACCTCCAATGAACTTGTTCCGCCACAGTAAAGAATATTATAAAACATGCCCTCTATCTACTCCAAAGTGTCATTAGAAGGCTTAACCATCTCAACATTCAAAAAAGATATTATCTGAGAACAGTAAAGCAGGAAGTCCAGTTATGTTAACAAACATAATTCTGAACATATTTGCAGATGTAAATATTAAATTTATTTCAAAAAATTAATGTATTTAATTGAAAAACAGTTAATGCGGAGGATTAATATACTGCAAATCTTCCGCGAACCGCGAAGATTTTCGTCGAGAGTTTAATATGGAAAGGATTTGAATGAACAAATTATGACGAACCAATTTTATGAATAAACTGATATTTTACGTTATGGATTCATATCGAATACAAACTTTTAGCGACTTACAGATTTCCACCTTTTCCGCTAGTTCCATGTTTAACAGAATGTTGATGTTTCCGCACATCTGGCTTACTCGAACTCGAATGTTGTCTTGTTATTGGATATCCATCACTACTTAAACGAATATATTTTGAATTCTTATCAATTCTTCGATCGCCTCCAGCTGTGGCTGTAATGCTGTCGCCTTTTCGTTCAACAACAGCGGCACCAACATCCATAACTTCATTTGTACCAGTTGTTGGTTTATCATCTTGTTGATTCTTCCTATTATCGTGATAATGGTGATGATGGCGATGATGGTGATGCTTACGATGAGTTTCCTGAAAGAAAACTGCATTTTTTTATAGTTAAGAAAGTAATAAATTTTCACAAAATTCTACCACAAATTATTTTAAATACCGAAAATTCTAAGGTAGTTAAAAAATCGTCAATTTTAAAACGTTTAAAAGGAATTCTTAAAATGTTCTAAAAATTCGAAATTGCTTTTCTTGAAATTCCTATGCAAATAATTGAATCAAGCAATTATACAGTTTCATTATTGTTTGCACGATCTTTTGCAGCAATACGGTAGCGTTGCAGTAAATCGCTGGGCTCCTGTCGGGTGAAACACGATAAAAAAATCCACAAATAAGAGTGCCACTTTTCGACGAGTTGTGACTTACTGCAAATAAGTAGCAATTAAAATTGTAAAATTTAGTATGTAAAAATAAAATTTAGTCAAGCAGATTAATCTAAAGATGAAATATATCGGATGATAAGGATATGAAAAATCAGTTAAATCACATATACTAAGATTTATAATGTTTTACCAACTGGTTTATTTAGGAGTGAACTTTAATTATATAAACTCAAAATGAAAGATGAAATCTAACTAGATGGATCCATCATTTGGACTGAAATTTCAGAAGATAGTTTGATAATAAGAATCATCCAAAAAGTGTTAAACAATATAAGGAGGATGTTAAAAATAAAATCTTGGAAAGCTGAATTCCAACGAAAAAATTAGAAGACTTCCTCCCGTATATTCACATTTTCTTCCTACCCTTTTCTTTTGATATTGTTTGCTGATGTAAACGATTTTAGAGAAGATTTTTAACATGACATTTTCAGTAAAACCTAACCAAGGTTATGTGTTTTATTGTCTGGAAAACAATGAACTACATGAACAATGAATGAACCTATGAACTACAGGCACCATTTTCCATGTCTATAAACAACTGGTAAAGTCATCGTACTGCGCCAAATTTTCGAACAATTTTGACACATTTAAATTATACAATAACCTTCTTGACTTCCGGTTAAATTTCTCATAAAAAACTGAATTTGATTGCACTACTATATATTTTCTTTCTGCTATTCTGAGTGTACATTCTCCAAAAATTAAAAAATGCTTTTAAAAGTAAATAAATTTCAAAATATCAAATTTTAGTCAATGTATAGCTTTAAACAAAGTAAATTTTAAACAAAAAATTAAGCTATACGTTAAGCTAATTTTTCCAAGATGTCCATTGATATGATCGCCAATTTTAAGTAAATGTCGCAATGAATCGGTAGAGCTTAAGTCGTCACATTGCACCAGTTTTCGCATGTATTTCTGAGCAGGTCGCATGATTTTGACACACTGAAAAACAAATAAGGTAATATTTATAAGGTAATATTGAAAAGAAAAAAAATAAAGCCATAATAACCTTCATAAACAACTGGCAGTTGCTGAAGCTACTTTACCTGCCTACAAATATTTGCATTTTTCGAATTTACAAATTGTTTAATTTTTTGATCATTCATTTTGTGTTATGCTATGTTATAAATTTCATGTCAAGAGTACCGAATCATTCTAGTTACATGACATAAAGTATTAGCGACGAGGCATTACTATAATTAGAGAACGAATGTCCCACAAGACCTATATAATCAGGCAAACATTTTACGTCATCTGGTTGTACTAACACGTTACAATTCACGTTATCTGATCGTAATTAACACGTTACATTAAGTTATTCTATCATTCAGTTCAATGTGTCGCGTTAAGATGATTTATCTTCTAGACAGCCATCATCAAATCATTTCATTTAATCCACTGCATCATTCTTTAACTTCTTTTACTTGAATTATATTTATTCCACACAAATATTACCTCTGCAAATTGTGATGATTTCTTGTTCTCAACGTCTTTTTTATACTTGGACTTGTTGATGGTTAAATGATCCAAGCTAATTCCAATTCTTTCCTTCTTAAGCTGGAAATTGATCAGTCTATTGAAATTTTAAGAATGAAAATAATAATTCAAATTGATATAAAAGCAAAGATGGATATCATTGGCTTCTATTACTCGAAATGATAAGATACCATCACTCAAAATGATCTCTTATCTCAAAATGATTTCTTATCTTGACCAGAGAGGGAAATATTTCAGAATTGACATAAGAATAAAATCATTCATACTTTTGGTTCTTTTTTTTCAGCATCATCTTTTTCTTCTCCGTGTTCTCCTTTACATTTCTTTTCTTTCTTATCTTCTTTGGATGGTTTTCTTTCCTTTAATTTATCCTAAATCAGAAATGTATCAATGCAAAAAGCAATCTAATATATGTAAGAACAAATACAGAAAATTTAGGACTATTTTTATTATCCGAAGCATTACTAGTTCCAAGAGTTTGTCACCGATAACTAAGATACCTCCTATTAACGATGCGAAAACGTGCTTGATTTAATCGAAACTTACGATTTAATTTAATAAACTATTGATCTAATTAACTTATCAATCACAAAGAAATAGGTCAATAAAGAAAACCCCGAACTTATCAGTATTCCTAAAGATAATAAACCCAAAAAATGATTTTTTTAAAAGTTTCACTTTCATTGAAGTACTTTCTGTAGCCTTCGTATTACGACCAAGATATTTCAAAAGATATTCCGCTCTTGCTTGAATATGTTTACTTTGTGGCTTCTTACTTTTATCTTTCAACCAAATCTGAAACAAAGAAAATAGATGGATTTATGATTTGAAAAAATAAGGCCAATTGTTTTATTACATTTAATTATGGTTTTAACAATCTGAAGCTCTTCCTCAATAGAATTACAAAGATATCAGTGTTGGAACTTTTTAATTCAATTGTAGAAAACGGTCATCACACGTAAACTTCCCATCGACTTGCAAATATTTGCGTGTTTTCATGCTTACAATGGTTTCTGTGTACTGTTTTATTTCTCAGAAGAATATTATTTTAGGCCTTAGAGCCTTTCATTATAATTTTGTTCTAATATTTTTTCGAGCGATACAAACCATGAAAAGCATACTTTTTCTGCTAAACCATAATCGGGATCCATTTTGATTTCTTCCCAACTGCCAAGACCATATCGATAGATGCCTTTCAGTAGTGCTAAATCATCGGCGATATCCCATTCAACATCCCAACCTTTTTGTTCTTTAGGACAACCCGGAATTTGTAATAATCTGATATCACCAGCACTTTTGACAAGATTATGCAGTGGTATAAGATCTGACTGCATCTTCAATAGCGGTCGGACATAAATATCAATATTTCCAAATTTAAAAATTGCGCCACGATCCTGAGAAAAATTGAAATTAATTTTCTACGAATTATTCATAAATAATTCAAAATTATCAACAATTCCATAAAAATTCCTTACACCTGCTTTTCCGTCTTTGAAACTGGAACTAAAAAAAATAAGAGATACTCAAATTTGAAGTTCTGTACCAAAACCAAACCTGTTTTCTTTTACCATCTTCCATAGGTTTCTTCATCGCTTCTTTGATTTTTTCTTCATATTCACTTTGAGCTTTCTGGCAACCAATTAATAATTCATTACCAAGCTGTTCAAGCTCAGTTTTGCTGAATTCTTCCAATTCTGCATCTTGAGCTATTGCTTCTAATCTGTAATGTAACTGACCCTTGAGCAGTATGATTACAAATCTCATTGACAGAGAAATTCCAGATAATGTGATTGTTTGTAATTTTTCCATAGCAATTCGATAGAGTTACAACAAAACTCACCTTGTCAGGGGTTCAGCAAATTTCCGGAAACTCCGTATGAATTTCCTAATTTCTGATTCAGTGAAATTAAGCAACAATTTCTTCCGCGCACGTTTCGGTTTATTCTCATCGGAACCTTCTTCTTCGCTTAATGGTGAATCTCGACCACGTTTCCGCCTTTTTTTCTTTTTTTCATCCTCATCACTATCACCAGCTTCTGCAGTTACGTCAGGGATCTGGAAATTTAAATTTAATGTAATAATAAGAGAGCGAGTGGATGAATCTGCCCCCTTATGTATCCACCTGAAGCGATTTATAAGCCTGCATATAAACATATCACCATTGCACTTCTCCAACTATCAGATCTTATCAGCAAACATCATTGAATAATGCATCGCTTCTGCCTCTCATATCACTAATGTTAATCATCACTTAATGAAGAAGTGCTATCATATTTGGCTAACCAAATAAATGGTGCGACATGAAGACAACACTGCACGTCTCATGAAGTCTTCCTAAATCTTCCATGTGTTGTAGTATTCACAACACAAATTTCAAATCAAATCAGTCCATTTCGTTTATTCACTGATAAGGTAGTGAATGGATGAAATCGTCTAAGTTATATAATATTAAAATATGAAAATGAAAAGTTATTCACCACAACACACCTTTACTCTCTGTCTTGGTCCAAGGAAAAGCTCTTTTTCGGCTCGCTCACGCTCTTCATCAGCAAATTTTTTTCGATCAATTTCTGGAATAATTTCATCCCATGATTTCGATGCAGCCGCATCTTTTTGGTTCACTTCCGTTTGAACTGTTGCTACATTCAATGTTGGTACATCCTTATTCTCATCAAATGAAAAATCTGCATAACGGAATGCATTCAACAATTCACTGCCAGAATTCTGTAAATCCGGAATAATTTATTATCTCGTAATAACAAATTTGCAAATCCTAATGTTCCAAAACAAATTAATTCACAAGATAAACTTCATCAATGAGTACTGAAATGAAAAATATGACAGAAGAGAATTTTCTCTTGAATACCTGCTGATCACATTCTCTGGTTTCCGCGCCTTGCAAAATATTATCAATGTCAACTTCCGGTTCTTGTTCTTCACCTTCTTTTTCTTTAAAAAGCTCCTCGGCACCAAATTTAAGAATCATTGCCAAGTCTTGTTTGTCAAACGGCATCGTTCCATTTGTCACAGTTGTTTTCGAAAGTACCGTTCGACCAGTTGTATCCATTCTCTGCAAATTCTCCATTTCTTAAACTTTAATATTTAAAAATCTAAAATCCTTTGAAAACTCTCCACTTTATTTTGTTATCATAAGCATCACGAGCACTGCAATAGAAAATTTGAACAACTGCACCTGAATAATAAGGTGGTCCAAGACTAGTTTCCTCTTTGCCCTTTCCACGATTTCTTCTTCTACCGACGCCTTTGTTACCAAACGATATATGTTTACCTTAATAAGCCACAAAAATCATTCTCATAACTTATAACTTTGCTATAAATTATCATATCCTTAAATTCCAACCACGTCATCTGCAGGATAATAGTTATCAATACTGGAGAAACACGAATCTTTTCTTGATGAGGACTTAGAATTACAATCTATTTTACCTGTTTTTTTTGGCCAATTCTATGCGCACGACTCATAGCTTGCAAGTCATTTTGCGGATTCCAGTCTGAATCGAAAATAATCACCGTATCCGCTGTGGCCAGATTTATTCCAAGGCCACCAGCTCGAGTTGAAAGTAAGAAGCAAAAATCAGGAGAATTTGGAGCGTTAAAATGATCCAACGCTGCCTTCCGGAGATCTGAACGCATTGAACCATCCAATCTCTGGGATTTAAATTTATACGGAAGCAGTGATAGCCACATTACTTAGTGGATAATTAAATTTATCAGAGATAATGACATGATAATTTGATGAATACTACAGATCAACTTAAGTACTAGGTCAGCCTTGTTTTATATTTCAGTAAGATATGATGAGCATTTTTTTCTGCTAACAATAAAGATTAGGGAAAAATCAAGTCAAAAAACCCACAATGAAAAAGCCGATAATGTATGAGAATGTCAGTTGCTAAAACTGCATTCTACTCTGTGATTCTTTCTAATTTAAAGTTTTTAACTGATTTCGTTATCTCATCGTCTTTAGACTTCAACGTAGTGCAAACCACTCAAACTAATGGGATCAACTTGCACGTAAATTGATGTCAATTTTATCCATTTGAAATTAATTATTAGTCTGACCATTCGACATTTTGTGAATAATATGTTTCGAAAATTCTTAGGCATATTTAAAGTTTTCAGGATCTTCATCTTGCCTTTCAAGAATATAGCCTGGCATCACATTTCATTATCACTTTTTCCTCAACCTTTTTTGCCAACTCTACGACGGATTTGTCCAATTTTGAATAATATTTCGATTTATAAATGAATTCCTCAAGATATTTACCTGCGAAGGGAAACGCCGAAGCTGAAGGTATTCTTGCATGATATCGAGCATCATTACCATCTGTGAAAAAATCAACACCCGATGCCCAGTTTCTTGCAAACGACATAACAGTTTGTCCAATAAAATCAATTTACCGGAAGACTTCAATAGTTGCTAAAATATTTTTGCATTTAATTTGAAAAAAAATACTAAGTTGGGTAATGAAATTCAATTTTACACAATACTGAATTACTTATCCGACTTCGTATAAACGAAAATTCTTGAATTGTTTGCTCATTATTATTTATGAGAAAATCTATAAAAAGATTAAATCGGTTTGGGCGGTCAAATTCGGCCGAGCTATAAGGTTAATTCACAGTGTTTCATTAATTCACAGTAATTCGTAATATATAGGTTTCCCTTGGAAATAGAAAGTATCAAATGATTCAACAAAGTCAAAGTTAGTCCTTACCGCCCAACAGTCGGCCCGACAAATCCAATTCTTTTCTTGATATATGACGGGATGAGAAAAATGGCGCAGAGTTTAACGGCAGAATATTAAGAGATTACTAATTCGTCATTTTTGTTTATATGTTCTATAATTCTTCAAACTCATTGGTTTAGAAATTTCCTATTCGTTTCGTTACAAAATTTCTTGAAATTTAAATTTCCATCATGAAGGCAAACCTGCAGTCGGGCATCCGCACCCTCCTCGGATTCATCATATGATCGAACAAGTGAAGCATGGTTACAACATTTTTTTAGTTCCATAACTAAGTTCACAAATCCATTAATGGATCCTTTTACACCTTTTGATAACTCCTTGTAATTTTTGGTTAAAATCCATTTGTAATACTGTTTTTGCTGAGCAGTCATATCCACACGCAGAATTTGCTCAACCTGAAAGCACGTTCAATTGCTGAGATCTTAAACGAAACAGTAAATGCAAGGATTTGAGGAATGTAATATCAGTATGTTCCACAGACATGCATAATGTCATTATTTGAAATGCTGTTTTTTTACGTCGTGATAAGCATAAAACGGAGTATGGAATTAAAGAGACTTCAAAATTTAACTTTCAAAACTTCTTCAAAATTCCTTCCAAATAATAAATAATGATAAATGGAACCTTAGCTGGCAGTGATTTTTCCACATCCTTTTTCACACGTCTTAACAAAAATGGTTGAAGTTTTCGATGCAATGATGCAATTGTTTTATGATCTGAATCATGATGTTCCGCTTCAAATTCTGGCCAACTGTCAAACCTATTAAAAAAACATAAAAACATATAATGACCAGTGTTCGAGAGCTAATCAAAATAAACAACTTTTTTCATGATGATTTGCATATCCTCGAATGTCGTGCTACTATTCCATGCATCTTTTTTATATTAAAAAAACTTTGGTGATAAACCTCAAAAGCTCCAACAAAGCAAGAAAATGGTAAAACATTGAAGCTAATGTGAATCGTAAACATTAAACAAAGACGTAGAGTGAAGAAAGTTTCTTTGGTTATAGAACCCAGTGGAAGGAATAGAAATGCTTTAACGTTTTCCAAAGTTTCGTTTGCTTTTTTTATGAAGCATGAATAAATCAAAGCGACATGTGACAAATTATCCATTATGATAAGTAATGTTAACACTATTATTATAAGCTTAATATTATGCCCACAAATTGATATGAGCTCCAAGTAACCTAGAAACTCAAACAAATATTATTAATAAACCAAATTATCCTCAAATTTTTTTTCAGAAAAAAGAAATCCTACTTTCTGAATGCTTACTTTTCAGGCATAATGAAGTGGAGCAAAGCCCAGAGTTCTTTTAAGGAATTTTGAAGTGGTGTTCCGGTTACCAGTAATCGATGATTTGTTGTGAATTCGAACAACGAACGATACAATAGTGACTCATCGTTTTTTAAACGATGCGCTTCATCGACAGCTAATACAGCCCACTCAAATGAACCAAGGAAGGACTAAAAATTTCCAAAATTACCTTATATAGCAAAACATCATCAAAAAAAAGCAATCTTAAAAGCAATCTTTTGCAAATCCTCAGCCATCCGGAAGCTTGAACGTATCCATTTATAATACGCCCCTGTAATGCATAACAAGCGAAATTCGCATCACTTATCAATTAATTACATAAAGGATATTATTAAACTGTTTGGATGCTACTACTTCCTGCTGCTATCAATACTGCAAAGCTTGCCTTATCTTTCAGCAGAATTTCGTATGTAGTCAAGACGACATTCACTTTTAGGCGTTTTGTGCTCTGCACATATATTTCAAACTGCCTTATCTGGAAATCAATTCTTTTAAACTTTTACGTTACATAAGTAATTGAATCAAATTAATTATGCATAATTATAAGTTGTGTATCTGCTTACGTCAAATTGTTAGACTATGTGACTGCATTAAATTTGTAAGTTATTCAGTATGCCATAATAAAATCATCACGCTGTCACAAGTATACAATATCAAATTGTGAACTTCAGTAGTCACTTCAGCTGCTACAAAATTATTTAGATATTTGCAGGGAGCATTAATTTTATTAGCTTATTTTTTATGTAATAGTGTTATCAAATTTAAAAAATGATGGTTTAAGTGTATGACAGTCAGCTAATCTCTCACTCAAGTGTTAATAAAAAAGACACAAATCAATGACCAGATCACGGCTCGTAACATCACCAACATAAGTGACAACATTAAGATCTGGTGCCCAAGTTTCGAATTCACGTTGCCAAGAAGCCATCGTACTTAGTGGTACTACAACCAGAAATGTTCCATACAACTGATATTTGTGATAGAGTACTGAGAGAAAACTAATACTTTGAATCGTTTTACCCAAACCCATTTCATCCGCAAGTATGCAACTATTTTCCCTGAAATTACGTTGAAAATTCTTGTCAATATCAAAGAAATTAAAACAAGCTTAAAAAATGATCAACAATTCTATCTTCACTTCCATTTTTCACAGTTCAACTATATTCACTTCCATCTCTTGCTTTTATTGCTGAAACCATTTCAATTACTGTTTATTAAATTGTATTTATTTACTTGTGATGAAACTATTTACATCCTTCTTCGAATTTTATGTTCTATCGCATATGACTCACCATAAGCAAAAATAAAACCACATGTTTAAGAGATGGCATTTGATCTAAGTGTGCTATTAAAAGCATGAAGTATATGTTATATCGAATACAACATGTTTTTTAAAGTCACAGCTTTCCCAAAAAGTTGTCAATTTCAGTCGTATTAAGATTCTAAAACCAACTTTGCCCAAGCATGTAACATCCAATTTACTCCTTCCAATTGATAGTCGCGTAGCTCATGCTCTGGATCATCTTTTCGGTGAAGGAAATCAGGAATACTATTCATTTTTTCAAATTTTGGACGTTTTCTCAGAGCCTGCAAAAATATCGGCGATTTAGATCAAAAAAATCAAGGGAGAAAGAGATGTCAATAAACAACAAAAGGAAACGGTAACTTTCTCTGTAAAGACATGCAGCTTACTTCACATGGACGATCGCCTACATCTGTAAGGAAAGATGGGAGAATTCATCGTATAAAAAGATGTCAAAAAGATGCTACAGCTCTGATAGCGGATTGGTATGACAAAGATCGTTCAGATTTATTATACAGAGATAGATACTGAAACTTCGCTGTATTTCAAATTAATAATTTGTTCCAGTGCTTAAGTGAGAGTATTATAAATAAAAGAAAATATACTCTGTATCGAAGCAGGAGAACCTTAATTTACGAGAAATTTTGCACATTCCAACGATAAATTACATCGAAATGCAACTTTGTTCTCGAAAACAAACTTTCGAAGCGAAATACTTTTGAAACAAACCGGACAATGTTTATTAGGTATTTTCCCGTTGTCACGTCGATCATAGTATGCATCAATTTTATCTTGAAATTGTCGTGCAATCAAGTGTTCCTCTTCCCAAGTGCATTCAGAATATGGCAAACCACACCATTTTACAAAATATTCCGTTCCTTCGTTTTCACCTTGACTACGCGATATTTGATGAGCTATTACTCGTTCAATAATCTAAAAAAATTTCTTACCGTAAATATCATTGATTACTATTTCAAAAATATCTTAATTTATTGCTGTACTGTCTCTTCATATGAGTAGTCATGTGTTAAACATCAGATGGTTTAGTTAATGATGCAACGAATTACAAAACTGATCCTAACTTAGATTGTTCCAATTTTTGTCATCGGAATTTAGAGTATTTAACGCTTTTAATGAATGACTGGAATGTTTTAATCTTAAAGACAAATTTTAAATCCCTGATAAAATTCTGTTGTTAATTAAAAGTTCGCCGAAATAAAGTGTTCTAATATTCAAACTGTTACCTAAAATCTAAAGAAATTAAATCTCTTCAATCTTCTTCCTCTCTCCTTACATACACATTTTACTAGGACACATTACCTTATACTGTTCATTAAGTTCGTCGTTCATTTGTTGTTCACAGTCAAAAAATTCAATATATTCTTTATCTGCAGTAAGTTTCCTGGAATTATGCAACTAAGTAAACTGTTTTGGAATTATGAAAAAATCCTGAATCTTCATTTCAATTCTTAATCTACCCTTTTGCTTTACAAATTAAATTCCAAGAGTACTTCAATTGTTAAAACTAACCATTCCTCAATATCTCTTAAACGTTTCATATAATTATCGATTTTTTTCAATCCTTTGGCATTACATTGCTTTATGCTATTTTCCGATTCCCATGTATTATGAAGATGTGACCAGCCTAACCATTTGATTAAATACTGGCGTTCCAATTCCATTTCATCGCCATTTTCTGAAAATAACTTCTGTACTTCTCATCTATTTCCTTCTTTCTTTTTTTATTGGCATTATCGTTCAGAACAGAACAATTTTCTTGTCAACAATGCGATAAATTCATGTCTTACAATGATCATTATTCAAAACAAGTTTACAATTAGGTATCGAACTTCCGTTTTTTATAATTTTTTTTGTCTTCAATATATATTGAGAAACTTACAAATTATATTTCGAACTTGGAAAGTGCTCTCTCAAAAATTTCCAAGGCAAAATTTATTCATTGCTTACATATTTTCTTATGCCACTATGGCTAGTGCAAAACTAAGCAAGCAGTACCTGCCAGTTTAACATTCGGATCACCTTTATCCTCCACATTGTAACATGTTGTCGATGCTCCGGTTGCTCCTGGATATCCTGCTCGATGACGCAATACCTTTTCAATTGTTTCACTGCACGAAGTATTATGATCTGCTGAACTAGCACCTTCTACTTTATCACCTTCATCCCATTCTAACACATCATCAGAATTTATCTGAAATTAAAATGGAATTATTATAACAGTAGTAAATAAGATTAAAACTCATGCTTAGATGCTTGAATGATATATCACGAAATACCTTAGGTATTACCTGAATGACTAGCATATCAAATACTGTAAATTACAAATAATCAAGTACTTGAAATAATTAGGTCACCGGTATTTTTAAATCAATAGAAAGCCGCGACATTGGTGTGTTTCTGCATACTTATGGTTCGTTTATGAAATGGTAAGTGATTTCGATCAAAAACAAATCAAGTCGGAGCTACTGAATTGCTTAAAATAAGACATAAAAAGACACAAAAATACGACAGTTTAAAGATCTAGAATAACGGACGGGAAATTTGATCACAATTTAATACTCGCTTCTTAGATTATGCAACATCGCACGAGTTCCAAATAGTTGTAATATGAAGATTATGATAGGAATGATATGACCGCTTTTTCTAACGTTATTAACTATAGTTGAATTGGATCACTACCAATTTTAAAAGTATTTAGTTGTTTCATTTGCTTGTTCTTTTCGTTGATATCGCCTGATGGCATTTCAAATTTGCATTAAAGGTGTTGCATGTGTACTGCTTAAGACACAAGCTTATTAACTTTCTTTTGATTTCAATAAAAGTTTAACATATAATATAACCTCTTCGTCTGAACTGATATCTCGATAATTGATGCGATTTTTTCCACCATCAACTTTGCTCCGACGTGCTGGACGTATTCCTCCCGAATCATCATCGGAACTTACACCATGTTTTCGGCACTGCCTCCTTGCTTGCAGTTTCTCTGGTTTTTGACGCATCTTTTGTGACGATATAATTTCTGACGATGACTCACCATCACTCGTTTCATTCTCCTCGGATTGTGGCAGTTCCCTATGAAGAAAATTTTAAATTTCAATTTTCAGGAAAATGTTTTAAAACATTAACAGTAGTTATAATATTCAAAAATACCTTTTATCAGGTTTTTTCATTACTTTTTCTGCCCCCTTCTCCGTATTTGGACCGGTTGTCTCCTTACGTTGCCTTGAAGACCGTCGTAATATATTCTCATTTTCCAGAAACTTAATAAAATATAATCGTCAGTAACATGGACAATGATTTGTAATATCTCCAATCATGATATTTTGAACACATTATAATCATGAATTATGTTACTTCGTCCTGCCATCTTGCTTTTGACAAGCCAAAATTGCTTGGACCTAACGAGCGACCTTTTTAAATTAAGCAATCTTTGATTTAATTTATTTTTTCCCTTTTATAGAATAGAAGATTTCTTCAATTACACCTTTCGTGTTTCATCTGTAATTTTGACACCACGTTTCTTTATCTTAGTAATCTCTCCATCACCACTTTCAGCACTGAACACTGAATCACTTTTTTGTTCATTCACATTGCACTCACCATTTTCACTATCTATAAGTAGGCACATAAGTTATAGGATTTTACAAAGAGTGAGTGATTTCGACCTCCCAAGTACTGAATGAAAATAGAAAAAGAAATGCTACAGAAGGAATAATTTCCTTCAATTAATATTGAGAGCTCAGATGGACACGAATTTACTAGCGTTTATCCTTACTTTTCGAACCGGAAGCATCACTTTCACCGTCCTTCGTATCCGAGTCACTGCCCTTTGAACTTCCAATCGATGAAATTTCCCCATCATTGCCTTCCTCGAACTTCTTTCTTGCAATATTGATTTTATCATCTTTCCTTGCTGATTCTAAAAGAAGGAAGATGTGTATTCTCTTTAATTTCGTTAATTTCGAAGAATTTCATTTCGCGAAAAGTGATGGAACACTAAAATTGTTGATTTTTTCATATACCTATAAGTACAAAACATGTTAACAATTGTTGACTTCTTGTGCCAAGATTTTCATTCTTGTACCTTTTGAAGAAGGAGTGGTTGCAATCTTTTTGTTTCCACAAATTATCTTCAAGTAAAATGTTGTTCCCTCATGTTTTTCTACAGAGTGGTAAGGATTTTTCCACTTTAAAATTTTGAAAATCAGATTAATCAGAGGTAAGTTTCAAACGCGGCTTCATCTCGACAATTTTTTTAGAGGGAGTAGATTGGGTAGGCAAGGGAGGTGGAAAAATACCGGAATAGAATAGGAGAGAGAGAGAGGTTGCCAGAAGTTATTTTTTTTGCACTAAATTCTCTTCCGATAGTGACCTCATTTACAAATCTTTCATACAGGCTGATCGACTTGACAAACCGAATGACTTCCAGTGATAAAATAGTAGCTCAGGTGATGATAATACTACTTCCAAGAAATATTTTTCCAGACAAGTAAATCAATTCTTCTTAATAACAAGAAATTTGATCACATCCTCTGAAATTTCCAAATTCTAATGGAAGCTCCTTAGGTTTGAATGGACTTAATTTTTTGATTTGAGAACAAATTTTGGAAGCAAAATCGACAAATTTCTAGTATTTTTTGTTTTTCTTCAATGCCTGATTGAATTGAATGCTTTAAAAAATTTGCATACGTTTGCTTTTTTCTAACAAAATTTTTCTTCAAATGCTGCAACTTTCTAAAACTTACTCTCTGATATAATCTCTGATAATAAATCCAAGTTAAAAGACACACAAAACCATTACGGAATGATTGCATAGAAAGGGATTTGGAAACATTTTTTATATCAATTAAAAATCCTTCTTAAATCAATTCGAACTTGACTTAAAAAAACTTTTAAATAAGAAAATTAATACATTCAAACATTTCTACTTTCATTAAGACTGAAACGATAACTTTCTAGTGCTAAGGAACATTGAAAATATACCCTGTCGTACAGTAAGATCAACTGTGACAGTTTCCTGATGATCCGATATACTTTCACTTCCGTTACTTTCCCCCGTGAATTCGGAATCCAAACTTATGGACGATGATGACATCATTCCATGAAGTGACAGCAGATATTGTATATAATAATGAAATGATGTATAGTATAATACACAGCAAACTGCTACTTTACAGTTCAAATCATCGATAAAGGATGTGAGAATTTCCAACCTGAAATTTGTTGCTTCTTTTATCAAAATTTATACAGTTACTTAGTTCAGTAGTTTCGTGACACTAAAGAAATCCATGCAAATTTGTTTACTTGAACAGAAACGATTTAAAAGCTCATAAAGCGAATTCTTCTTCTTGTAGCATTTTCCTAAAGAATAGTTGAAACATATTGGGTTATATTTAGGCAAAACTAAGTGATCAGTGGAAAGGAAGGCCACAATGCCTAGCTTCCCGATGACAGAAGAGCAAGGAATAGATATCATCCTATTCACTTGTATCAACCAATATCAGTATCATTTCTCAAGTTCACATTTTAAATCAATAACTTAGCGATAATATCATATAACGTTCCACAGAAATCCATTTTAAGGCTTGTGAGAGAGAAAGGATGAATTTAAAAGAAAAATATTGGTTTCTTTTGAGTTTAATTAAAGAAGAAAAAAAGAAGCAAAGATGCGGACACTATGGTCAGTGATGATGTAAATGAATTATCGATGACTAAAAAAGTAGCTTCGGGAAATGGCAACTTCTGGGAGTAACATCTAAAAGGATTTTCATAATTTTGTAAAGATTGTCATGAATATTTGTTCCTTATAGAAAATTCGAGAAATCAAAACGAATTCATACAAACAACTCGAAAATGTTAAAACTTATATTGTTTGTTTCAAAGAGCCAAAAAATCGCAGAAGATAGCAATTCACTGACCACTGCTTTGTAGTAAAATATTTTGATGAGAAAAATTAATAACATTGTTTAAAAATTACTATTAATTTTAGAGAAAAAATACGTAAATTTTCTAGCCAATTTATAGAAGTGACCAATCCAAATTTGAAAATTATCTTGCGGTAAATTTAATTAATGAATCCTTTAGTCATGTAGTTTATCACTTTTCTATTTTTTCTCCTCAGTCCATTTGGCCCAGAAAAAAATCGTGTTATTCAGCAATCAGCCTAGTATTCACTCTGGATCAATTTGCAAAACATAATATACTGTCTCAAGCTCATAAGGGCCAGACAATATCAGAGCACTTATTCCCCGGTATTTTCTCTTATACTATAGGAGCAGAAATGTTATCACTGTCAGAACTAGAAAATTAACCTTAGTTAGATTAGGAAAGGTCCAGTTCCTCAATTTTCCAGCTTCACAAAAATAGTTTGCTCCTTAACTACCAAACCATACCACAAGTTGTGATATTACACACAAATTAGCTATTATGAACGAGTTTTTTCATTATTAAAAATCTTCGGTATTTATTTTGTGAGGGAAATTAACAACATCATAAATTTCATGTTAATTAAAATACTGGATTTCCTCATTTTTTCCGAAAAATCTTTAAGTTGTTGTAATTATTACTCCTTGCAAAACTTCGTACCATCAAAATAACCGCTATTACGTGAAAACATCAAAATGGCATTTTATTTTATCGGGTTATGGCGCTGCAATGTATGTTACTCGTCGCACAGCACAAAAACTTGGCAAGAACGAGTGAGGTCGTGGGAGTCAGGTTTGGTGCAGATATGGTCTTTTTAACTTCCGTGATACATTAGATGATATAATCAGCGTGCGCAAATATAACTATGAGATCCAATTCTTATCCAATAAATAGAAAGTAGGAACGATAGGGAGGAAAAATTTGGAAGGATTCCAAAATTTGGAAGGATTGTTAAGTTCGAGAAATTGTTTGTAGAGGGTAGTTCCGCCTGAATTGGAGTCTGAACTGGAATGGTTGGGAATGAAGTGAAGAAACAATGGACATTGAAGACCAATTTGCCTACAACCGATAGCAGCAAAACGACAACTCAAAACACCGACTTCGTTCTATTTCACTGATCCATACCGGTTACTGAGAGTTTCCAGATTGTTAGTAGTACCGAAGTGGGCTGAAGCAATAGAGATCCCGAGATACGTAGGAGAATGATGATCTGTCCTCATTGTAGCGATGAAGTACCCAATTGTAAACATATATCAGATACATATTGATTTTCCCAAAGTTCCCGGATATTATTACCTAACAGAAAAATAAAAATATCCTTTCTGCCTCTTCAAGAAATCACAAATAGCACACAAGTCATATCACTGAAGAACGATATGGCACACGCATACACATACGCACACATACTGATCACACATAAATCTCCTTTGTGCCGAATTAGCGATCAATAAACAGTTACCACATCAACAAAGACCAAGAAACCCGTAGAATCTAGTGAGAATAATGTCCCAGAACCGCTGAAAACTTTTGGGCCGAAACAGACTGGAAAACACCGAGGTCCGTAAACACTATTGACTTTTTTAAAATCCTATGAACTTCGTCAATGACTTCAGGGACGCCATAACTGGCATCAACACCACTGCAGAAAGGAAGGACGCGAAAGACGAGTCGCAACGCAACACAAAACCCAAACGTTATTGAAGTGGGAGAAGCAAGATATTCCAAACGGGACACTTCCAGCTACAAAATGAATAAGCGGAATTTCAAATTTGTCGAATTCTTCTTTTCTCTCTTTCACAGGTTACCTTGGGAAGTTTTTCAACCCCTTCACATGCTCCTGGAATATTTGATGCGAAAAAATGCAAGAATTTTAATAAATTTTCGAAAAAATTTATTGAAAATTTAAAAACAGAAGCAAAATAGAGGAAAGATACGACAATAACAACGTAATATGAGATAAAAAGAAGCCTACGCTATCAGAACAAACATTCTGAATTGACAAACAGCCTAAGGCACTGGAAAAAATCACTTTAAAGTATGAACTTGTCTAAGTGAATTAAAATAAAACATATGCAAAGTTCATATCACAGCTCCATGGAATGATTTATGTATCTGTCTAACAGCAAAACTGAGATTGTTTGGGTTCCACATAAAATCGTAGCTCATCATTTATCACCTATACTTATTGATCTTATGAATAACAACTGATCACTGTTGAAATTAAAATAAAATAACAACAGTGTTAAGGAAAATCAGGAAACAAAAGAATTAGCATATGAGTTTTGTTTTTTAATCACTAAAAGTTAGACCAACAGACAATCGAAATGCAGAGATACAATATCTGCCTCTTTGGAACTAAGTGTACCAAACAGGCAAAATGTGTTAAACAGTAAAAAGAGTTTTGAAATTGAATATATATTCACATGTCTCAATTTTCAATTCGAGATCGGGTGAAATGGTGGAAAAATACCTATCTAAGCAGCACCTTATTCCGGAATTTGAGTGTAAACAAGGTTTGAAATTGGAAAAAATACGTATATAATCAATAAATTAAATAACAATTAATTAACATTAACCGATAACAGATGAATGAATTGGATTGCTGTAATAAGTTGCTACAGGAGCGAACTTAAAATCCAAAGCTCTTCATTTTATGCTCGCAAATTCCTCATCTCAGGTCTAACTATAATTCCAGTCCTTTACAATTCTTCCTTCTTCTTCTTCGGTTTCCCGTCTCTTTTGTATCCTTTCAATTCCTCCGTTGCATGCTTCGCAATATATTTGATAAAATCATCCACTTCCCGACCGCCAGAGTATGGTTCCGGTTTGTCCTTCCTATTCTTCGGTACCCAATAAAGAGTTGGGAATCTGTAATAGAACAAAAAGAATCAAAGTAAGAGAAGAGAAGGGTAATAAATGCTTCAATTATAAAGCATTTGATTGAATTTTCAACAAATATCATACTACACCATTAGCATTATTCTAGCCTATGGTCAAATGTTTAAAGAGAAAAGAAAATCCAGTTAAAAAAGTTGGAAAATGAAGGAAGTGTAAGGCAAATAATAGATGCCGGTGAATTCATCATATTTATCGGAGGCTAAACATAAGCATAAGAACTATCTGTTATGGGTACAAAGATGAAGAGACATGAATACAATCACACAACTATCGCGTCATCATTTCCACTGTCAAAGTTCAAGACCAGTAGTCGCTGTTGGCTAATTTGGCAGTGCAGAAAGCTGATAATGGAAATCAATCATCACGCTGACATAAACGAATGGATTTTGAAGATTTAAAGATAAATTAATAAGCAAGCCCGGATGCAAGTAAAAATCGGATAACAATCAATTGTAATCTACTGGTATAAGTTGAAGTTCTTTTCTTTGCAAAAAGTGTTCGTTACTCGTGTCAATTTGAGTCATAATAATGGGCGTGAAGAAAAGTGAGTTGCAGTATGACACTACAACTTACTTTATTAGAAAAGTGGCAGTCGTTCAATCAGGTAGAAGAATTGTAGCACTTAAATCCAAAAGAAAGCGTTTTAATTTGCAGATAAGGGTTGATTTTTCAATGAGAAGAGACAGAGGAATTTTGAATTCTATATGCTAGTTAATTTTCTCCCACCGAATGCAGTATGTGAACCTTCGGATTTCTAGATCTGCACTACAGGATTGTATAACAACCTAACTGAAATGTAGTAATGTTTAAACATATAAGTGAAACCACCAGCAATCTTAAATATATGGAAGATTTCCATTTGTTGGCTAAACCAAATGCTTCAAACCATTGAAGAATCAAATAAATGAGATAATGGAGATGAATATATGACTGGAAAAATGAATCGTCACCAAAGATACAGGTCCGATCATATATCAGCGTATACTACCCACATAATCAACATTAAATGTCTAGGGTATTACAACTCATACTTGACCATACCCGTAACTTTCAAAATAATTCAATAAAAAAATACTGCAGCGACAAAAATAATTAATGCTTACCCTTGCACTTGGAATGGTGGTGGCACGTCATTTGCTGTTGCATCCATTTTTGCAATGACAACGCCTGATTCGCCGGATAATTTCTGGCCTAATTCATCATATTTCGGTGCGAGTGCCTTGCAATGTCCACACCATGGAGCATAGAATTCGATCAAAACATCTTTTTTCGTATCAATGACCATTTCTTGGAATGTTTTAGCAACAATAACCTAAAATATCCCATATAAGTACCGAGGTCATACAAAACAGAAACCATATGCAGAACCGATTCTCAAGATCCGGCCTTCCTTAATTTTCATTCCGAAGAATAATTTCAAAATAAGTGAATAAAAAAGTCATATTTGAAAATTATGCAATGTATTAATGAAGGTACGAACTGCAAAATTTAATCTAAAGAAATACTGTTACTGGTTTATACTAAGAGTGTATAGTCGGAAATTAAAATCAAAAAATTTTCGTATGGAACAAAGAAATTTACAACCCTGTATTGGAATATTTTGAGACTTAACCGATTAGAAATATTGAAAATGAAAAACTAATTTAAAATCGGATTCATCTGGTGAAAATGAAACCGAATTATGAATAGTGAGTTTAAGTTCCCATTTGCGATGAAGTTCCAATATCTTTTATCATGGCAAAAGATTCCACATGGTGACGGGAAAGAAAAAAGAAACGAATGTATCAATAGCCATAACGTATAGAAACACTCGGCTCTCTCGTGTTCAATAAGAGTCACAAAAATGTGTTTTAACTTCCTCTTTCACGCTGAAGAATGAGACAGTGAAAGTTTCGAAAGATCACGGAGACAGACCTTAACATCACCCTGTTCTTCAGGTGGTTCTTCGCTCTTCATATGCGGCTCTAATCTATCGTTAATAACGTCTTCAACAAATTTTCTCAAATTCTCCACGCTGAAATTGTTTACTGAAATCATTATTATATACAAATAAAACAAATCAAAACCTTAAAAATTAGCTTTGTCATTTCAGTTATCTTTAAGGATTTATCTCTTCCCCATCCACTACAAGTTGAGTACTCGTCACTCTCTTCAAACTCAAATCATAATACAATCTATAATTACGAAATTCACATCTTCACAAAAATCACATGTTACTGCTTTCGCTGACAGGGATTTAGCAACACTATATTCATGCTTCTTGTTTTTCTAATGAAGAAAGAAAAGCATGAAAAAATAAGTACACATCTGTGGCAGTTACCTGAACTCTTCTTTCATGAAAAATTTGCCTTTCTTACTACGTGCAGCAACAAGCGGCTTAATATCTTTACGATTAGCTAAGCCAAATTCATCAAGGTCCTGAAATCAAAATATATTCTAAAAATATAATAGCCTCAACTCAATAACCTAACAAATCCAAACCTTTCTTAACACCAAATTTAAGCTCAATTCTCTTATAACATATGCTAAAATGAACAGTAAAGTAAATGATTAACCGAAGGAGTTCGCTATCATCACTTTGAGAAATCGATAAACGATACACATAGAAAAAAAGAGATAAAGAGAGAACTGAATACCATGAATTAAAATTAAAAAAAAGAAAACCAGTTTATTAAAATTCAAGAAATAATAGAATATTTACCGAGGAGAAATCGTCCTTGTTACTTATAGCAAAATATGCTTTTCTTCTGTAATCTTTTGCAACCATAAGAACACGATTTCGCCAATAACTAGACCCTAAAAACAACAACTGTATTATCGCAATGGATCTAATTTACATGACAGATATCTCAACATTTTGGAAACATAAAAGCATTTGTGCCTAAAGGTAAGAAAAACTAACAAGACCTTTTGGATCCAACTCATAGTCAATCTTGCTGTACACAACAAACATTGGAAGTTGATCAAACTGATATCGATTTTCGGAAGTTCGTATACCAACAAGTCCATTCCTATAAATCTTATTTGGTTAAAAATTGTTCAAAAAATCAAACGAAAGGATATAAATTCTTGAGAGAACCGAAAAAAAGCGCAATCTTTTTGAGAATAGCGCTTTCTATAATAAAACTTACTGCGAATGAAAATGTTGTAATGAAAAAAGGTTCCACATTTCTCTTCCTAAGCGCTATTCCTACATCTTTTCTGTATCTTTCATTTTAAGGTGTGATGAGAAAGCGGAGGGAAAGGGTAGACAAAAATAAATTACCGTACGTTTCGTGTAGGAGAAATTCTTTGATTTTATCTGTGTCGTAATTCCCATCATATTTAAATCCATTCGACTCAAACTTATTGTGAAACTTCTTTGGTTGATATGCAACAATATCACTGAAAAATAATACCATCACTAATTAAATCAATGAATACTTGGAAGAGATTAATATTTAAATGATATAGAGATAGATAGCGCAAACTCATTGTATCCATTTGATTCCAGAATTTGTTTATTCGAAGTCCATACAAACTTGAAACGATCTCTTTCTGTATCTGCAACTTTTAAGAACGAGTCCTTCAACTTGCTGTCACCCTCGAAAAATCCTGAAAATGCTCTAAGATTACAACAGACAAACAAGAAAAGCAAATCCTCAGACAATAGAAAAGTAAGTTTGTTAGTGGTTTCTGATGCTTTAGAAGTTGATGCTGACAAGCTGATGTATGTAAAAAATGAATGAAAAATGAATGAAAAAATCAGTCGGTCCATCGAATTTTTTGACGCCACACTGGGATTGCTTGTGCTGTAGGATTTTAGATCCTGATCAACTCTGAAAAAAAGCAAAAGACTTACCACAAATCGTGATATCGTCGGCTTCCAGCATTTTTTCGAATTTCTGTAGCGTATTGATTTCTGTAGCTGATGGACCAGCTTGTCCTCGCATATATTTCACTATACCTTCCGTAACTCGTGGACCATCATAATCCTGAGCCAGTTCACCTTTACGGAAAATCTTCAAAGTCGGGTAGCCAGTAACACCGAATTCTTCGCAAATTTTTGCCTCTGTGCATTCGACCTCAAAAAAAACATCCGTTTTTAAAAGAAAATCTGCAATCTGCAATTTTCAAAATCTGTAAATTCCGTAGATTGCTATATGAGAAGGCTATAATTGAATATATGAACATTTGGACTTCACAATAAATCCAAAAACCAATTTGTTTTTACATTCACAACTAACATAAGCTATTAAACTGTTTCCTTTGGCTAATTATTAATCAAATTACAGGTTCCAGTGCTCATTTTTCTCCATCTGATATTGTAGTAACTTCTACGATTAGCTAAAAGTTCGCTGAACATTTCATTCCCTTGTATATTTCACATCATTACCATTTTTCTATCTTGATTAAATATTTACGCCAAGTTTTCAGATCACCAAATAATCACTAATACTCATATTTGCAATCCTTTGTGTTTCAATTCATCTTAAAATCAATTATATCGTTCTTTTCCACGAACTGTATGAACTTTTCAAAATTTGGTTTCCTTCCTCATCATAGCTATGAATCGCACTAGCCAAACCAATTTTGAAAAGTATTTTAGAACTCTGCGACTTCTCAATCATTCGTTTTGGATTAGGGATTCATCACAAAATACGGTATTTGTTTGCATAGAAAAAGAAGAAATTACCTCTGCTAAATGAACAGGCGGATCTTCCTGCAAAAGTTTTGTTGCTGCCTTCTCAAATTCCGGAGCCAGTTTTTTGCAATGATGGCACCTAAAAAACAATAAATGAAATTATTCAAATATTAACAAGGTTAAGAACAACTTTCCGCCTGCATAAAGCGGTCTGTCAGAGATTCCAAGAGAAAGAAATAGAATCAGAAATACACGATTACGACTTCGCAAAAAAAGTGGAAAAACCACACCCTAGAGATTTTAAAACATTCAAACATAAAAGGACATACGAAAAGATCATGTAATTAATCATTGTTCTCTTACCATGGCACATAAAATTTCACAAGTAACACATCATATCGCTTGATGCCTTCCTTGAAATCAGCATCCGTGAATTTTATCACATCACCACTGGCACTTGTTGTTGGCAATAGCAACAATAAGAATGAATAGAAAACGAAAGCAGAATTAAATAACCTCATTAGTCCCATCTTAAAAATTCGCCAAGTATCCGAAAATACCCAAATCCTGCAATATCTATGCAAACACATATGAAATTCTGATCAAAAAAAATTGAAAAATGAAAAATGAACGAAGATGTGGCATTGCCGCATGACGCATTTTCATGTTACTTCAAATCCCATCTCTGTATCATGTAAAGGAATCAAATGAGAGCAGCAGCAATAGTTTTTACATAATCCTTAAAATCAGTCTACCATAGGTAAAGCATCCATTGCAAGATAAGTTTTGGATAACTAAAGGAAATGTGATACTAGATATAAAATAAAATTCTGAAATGTGGATTCTTTCTAAAACTTTGTGACATATTTGTTAAAACTTTGGATCCAAATTTATTTCACAACAGGGAACGAAATCTCGATATTCAAAAGCATTAAACAAGAAAAAAGGATTATGCAGTTGCCCTTTTCGAAGTACTGCGTTTGTCCATTGTCCATCCTGAACGATGAAAGTGACTTAAGATTAATGTGAACAAACCTATAACAATAAAATGAAATTCTAAGGCGCCAATATGTGCTGTCATGCATGTAAACAAATCTACATGCTCTATGTAACTGAGACAAGAAAATGTTGGAAAAACTGAACTGCGAATGTATGCTGCTCAATCGATTGGAAATATAACCACACGAAAAAATGTATCATAAGAGGCGGAGGAGGAAGACGAATCCATCCTTCTATAGAATGAAGAGTTTTCGGGAAATTGACAGTTGATATATTCGATTTTTAAGATGTCCTTCCAACTGACAATGTTACTGACAGAAATTCTATGCTAAGTGTCTGCTTAGCTGATGGAATCTGGTTAGACATAAGAACAGTATTCTAATATATATATGCGTAAGTGGTAATATACACTCTTCAATCCAGTGATGCGCTACATGTACAACGGATTGTATGGTGTTTTAAATTCTTCCCTAAATTCCATTGTATGAATGAATTGTATTGCAATAAATCTATCTGCACAAAAACGGTTTGTCAATAAAACAAAATTAGCATACTAGATCTCTTATCCTTCTATACTTCCGGAACCATAAACTAAATGGAATATTTTATACGGTTGCATACACCTAATCTCTGTCTACACAAATAGCATCAGCAATGTTAACAGCAATCAGCATATTAGCAGCTTAGTAAACCAGTTTACTAGCAAAATGAATTTACAGCTTACAGGTTACAGCTTCATTATACAATCAAGGAGATAATTTTAAAGTAATAAATCTTATGGTATACGATTGAATGAAAATGTTCAAACTCCTCATCCTCTAATCTCTTACATCACTTATACTTTTCTAATGTGATTTCAATTAATAATTACTATCCATGTATAAGCAGCCGAAAATATTCGACGGAAAACGTGTAAGCCACACATAAAGAGTAATTCCTAAACTCATGTCTACCCCCTGAATCCTCCCTTAATGAGCACATAGGTGACTTGTTTTCTTACAATTACGTTTAACGGTGGAACATATATATAATTAAAAGTAAATATGCGCTTTATGTGTTTCATGTATGTATAGCAACTAGGGAAGTATAACTCACACCGCACTGACCCTGCTTTATTTCAATGCTAACAATTCTATCAGCAGCGATCTACATATATTTCTCACGTGGGAAGAGTAGTAAAATCCTGGAATAACATATTTATTAATACGTTATAATATCTAATCAGATTACATAAGCCCAATCAACGAGTTCCAGAAATACACCTGAAATTAATTTGTACTATACCTTCCTCCCTTCAATTCTATCTTTTCTGGAATTTGGCCAGCGGAATCGTCCCTAAAACGCCACCTAACAAGCTCGCTGCAAGCGACAAAGTGACAAATTTCACGAAACTATGTTCGTATGCGTCTAAAATTGACATGAAAAAGTAAATGATCATTTAAGAGAAGTATTACGGATACGGCTATGAAGAAGTTCTGGTAAGAAGTAATTCCATATATGTTGCTTCTCTGAGAATTCCTAAAGGATGTTTGCAAGAAAAAAAACGATATTTGATATAAGAAGCAAGAGAGAGAATGTATGTCACCTCTGAAGACAGCTACCAACATACCGTCCGCCTCATCACCTTCCCTCACAAATGGTCGATTTAACCGCGTCGCACGGTCGGGCACTAGCGTTGCGTCCGAGCTGTGTTACTCTCTCATTGGTTGGCTTTCATTTCTGCTACGTCATGCTCCACGTTCAATCAAACTGCTATAGAATGGCGTGCAAACATGCACATCAATTCTGCCATTTGCGCTCCAGATTTGAATTGGGTAAATTGGAAGGATTAATTTGGAAGAATGTTCGGCAATTGAGCTTTCTGTAAACTGAATTCTTTCTACTTCTTCAACAAAGATGGTATAATAAAATTGTTCAACAAACAAATATTAAACAATTTACATATTTTCCTGACAAATAAATGCAAAAGTGTTAGCGTAATTTTAACATTAATGCTTAAGCAAAATTTTTATGATAAATTTGCCCAGCAAATAAGACTTCTTGTATTTCGAAGATGCCATGAAATATAACATTCATGAATTTAAGAAATCGCTAAACTACTAAGAGCGCCTTCTAAATCTATTGACAATTTCCTCGATGAAGCATTAATATATCAGTAAGCAGTGAGTAAATAATTCCTGTATGAGAGTTATCAGTACCATCTCAAAATTAACGCTGATCAGTAACATTTCAGATTAAAGCATTCATTTATCTGGATCAGTAACTGATAATGAATGATCTTTCTGCATTGAAAACGGTTACTGAATTGAATAACCCACAGATAATATCTTCCTATATTGCGTAAATTTTCATCAACATTATCAAGAAATTTAGTAAAAAAATTGAATAATTAAAGAGAACGAAATGATTTCTAACTTAACCGAATGTACTTTATGTTTTCGATCTCTTCATGAATTAAATTTCAAAAATGATTTCTTCACAAAAGTCATTTAACATTTATTTCTCTTATGGGATAAAAATTTTGATCTCATTTCTATTTTAATCTATCACTTCTTGTTTGGTCTCCTTTTTAGGGAAAATATTCTTTCAGAAATTTTGCTATGAAATGAATTGGTAAGAAAATGTAATTTCTCCATTGCCATTTGTTTGGCTAAAATTATTTGAAGCTTTCGAATAAATAACTGTTGTAATTAATTAGATATTGGTAATTAGATTATTGAGCGACGAAGAATTTCCAGATGAGTAACGAATTGCTTTTAATTCCATCACAGTTAAACAGTGATCTAAAATAAAGATGCCGAATTCCTTGTGCTTCTCCAAACAAAAACTTCTCCAGGTTTTTTATATTCAAATTTAATTCCAAATTTTATAATTCTTAAGATCGATGGGAGCAACTTCCAAGAATAATTGAAAAGAAAAATAAGCTAGATAATTTTGACATAATTTTATCATCTTAAAATTTATTTCTAAATGTCAAAATATGCCTGTCAATTTTTCTTCGCATCAATAATTTATCCATTTTTTCATTTCAAATTCCAGTTCACAAAAATGGCTTTGCCACATTGCGGCTTATACTTCTTCATTTTTCTGTATCTAATGGCTGGAGCATGGACATTTGCGACGTTTGTTGAATTTAAATGTTTTTTAAATCGAATAATTCGATCTCAGTAGAGCTCTCATAATTAATTAGTTAACGATAAATAATTACGATTTAATAAGAACTTAATGAAAATGGTTTTAATAAGTTAATAAGTAAATTTTTCAAGGATTTTCAAATCCTATACTTAAGTCATTCAATTCTCGGTAAAGAATCAAAATTATTCAAATTTTGTTTCTTAAGAGTGGAGAACAACGCGGATCGCGAGCAACAACTTGGCAAATTGTTTAAGATTCGCAATACATATCAGAAGATTGCTGAAATCGCAAGCGAAGAATGTTCAATTGCGTCGAGACAGTCCCACTTCAGATCGCAATTATTCCGATCACTTTCACAGTATAAAAATTTGGTTCCTTCTCTTGATATATTACAATATTAGCATTAAGAAAGATGAAATAAGAAGGCAAAAATTTAAGTTCGTAAATTACATGAAGAATTTGGTGTTCGACAATATCATACCTAACATCATTCGCTCCTTTACCCACTCTCATCTCTTTCCGCTTCCTTTTCCCATATTTTTAAGTTTACTAGAAATATAATCTGAATTCAGAGAAGACTTATTTGCATGTTATCATCCTTTATGGAAGGACGCGATTTCCTGCTTAATCCCGATGTTAATCAACTGGAGGAATTGGTTTCACCAAAATGGACTGCAGTACCTTCAATTTTATATGCATTGTCAATTCTAGTATATACTTGAAGTTTTATTTCAAATTATTTTTAATTAGATTCAAAAAACATCATTCACCCTATGTAATTGGTATATGATTAAAGCAACATATTTTAAATAAATTCTGCTACCAATACTTTTTTTGGATTAACTAAATTTAAGTTGGCTGACATTTGAAATTCCAGACAACAACAGGTTATTTATCAGCAGTACCAATGACAAAGCTTGGACAATTTATTGCTATAGTTTACGGATTAGTGGGCATTCCACTGATGGTACTGGCAGCAGTTGATATCGGACATTTCTTATCCGATATTGTCTTACGACTTTATCGAAAAGTAATGCCATCCAGCCAAAATTTCAAATTGTTTTTGTAATAAACAATATTTATTACTTTGAAATGACTTAACTGTCGACAAAATTTCTCCAAAACCTCCCCTCCCTTTAAAATCATTAATTTGAAGAATTCATTTCTTTTTTTGTTACCCCGCATAATTATCTCAATTTCTTTTTGTTTGACATGATTATCTTTTGCTAAAAATTCCTATACGCTTATTTTGAAAGTACCTTTTGAAGAAGTATTGCAGTACTGCATGATGAAACATAGGTTTGCTAAAGCATGCGGTTGTTCGGAAAAGATGCGACTTATTATGGAATTAATGGAAACAAAGGGTGTTCCATATATATCCAAAATTCGGTTAGTGAAATATTTTGATGGATAAGATTATGTAAGAGTTTTGACCAATTGCTCTAGCTATTCATTTTGCTTCTTATTAATGGAAGAATTTCGAACAATTGATTTCTTCTAAGCTTAAGTTTTCTTCATTTATTGACACCAATGATAGTTTCAACATTTCCTGAAGTGAAAAGCGTAATGCTTATTGCAGAAAACCGGAAAAAAAAAGTAAAGAAATTATTGTGACGATAAAGGAAAATATTGGTGAAGTGAAACGCTTACCATTATCAGTGAATGCTTCCATCTTACTCGTCTTTTGCATGCTTGGTGGCGTTTGCTATACTGTCGCGGGTGAGACAAAGTTATGAGAAATTTGATGAATATTGCCGCTAAATTAATTATATACAGTTACAATCAACTGTTACTTAAGTATAAAATATATGTGTCAAATAAGCTCTAAGTGCTTATTTATGAATTGAATGCATTTCAAGTATTTCAGGATCCGGACAATAACATAGTGGATTCTTATTCAGTCATTTTTCATTATTAATGAAATTGTGGTTTCGTGTTTACTGCATAATTTTTTCCTTTATTCAGGTGGTCAGAAGAGTTTCTTGGAAGCATTTTTCGTTACATTCAATTTAGTAGCTAATTTATCAATGGCTGAAGTGCCTAATGATCTCAATAATATTCTAACATTTCTCTACATTCTGATCTTCGTCACATTTGGTAATTGAAATCTTTTTCTTCTTCAATTTAACAAGAATTGATGCTAATCTCTACCAATTAATGCTTTGTTGTTTACTACGGGTAAATCATCCAAAAATTCAATACGATATTCGAACCCGAAATATGAAATAAATTTTGCCGTTTTTATAATTATTATCAAACAAGAGAAAAATATATGATGCCGAGGATGCAAAATGAACGAAAATCTGAAATGTGACTGCAGCGATCATAACTTTGCTTGTTTGAAATAATTTATCTTCCACATAAAATTTTCTACAAGCTTTCTTGACAACGAAGATATTGAAAATCCACTTCTCGACACCAAAACGACCTAGGAATTTCAAAATGTATCAACCCTTGTTACGATAGGAAAATATAACTTGTTAAGTATTTTAGGTCTGGCGGTATTATCTATGTGCGGTAACTTGGCAGCTTCCGAATTAAGAGCTGTTTTCATGAAAATTCATTATTTTGGAAGAAAAATTTCCTGGCATAGACATCAACTGTTAAAAGAAAAGAGACATGGTGTAAGCAATTTTGGCAATTATTGTTGTAACAGATTTAGATCAAATAAACTGTTTAATGTTACATTTATAAGTTGCAAATCAATCGGGAAAAAATTTGCTATTTCTCTTGTTGATAACAAAAAATTAACCCTAAGTTGCATGCAATCAACAAACATTGCCGATTGAGGAGTTCAATTTGAAGTCATCATATAGGCATTAATTGGTTTTTTTTAAAGACAGAACTTGCCGAAATGCTTAAAGTTATTATTGCAATCCGCGAGTTAAATCCCGAGAAAGACAATATAACTTCAGAAGATATCATGGGGGTTTGCTCTTTTTCTTTTACCTTTATAAAATATTGACAATGAATATTGCTGAATAACTATCAAACTTAACCATTGGGTAAACAAGTACCTTTTTTCCAAACCATAGATAACACTAATCAAGAGGGCACAACTAGACAAACATTAATGTTGTATATTATTTCCAGGATTGTCTTTTGTTAGATAACGCCTCATCGATTAAAACAATATCTTTCTCATAAACCTTAAAAAAATTAAGCTCTTCATCCTTCCCTGCAAAAATGCACTTATTTGTTTGGCAAATGAATAACTGCATTCAGAATGCTAAAAATGTTTTCTGCAGATATTGAATGAAATACAATATAATTCATTTTGCCTCGATCTTTGCAACCAAAAAAAACGACGTGATACAATCGCATTTATGCCGCAAAGCTTCGAAGCACTGCGATTTGCAGATGAGCTTGACGTGGATGATACAGTACATCGTGCTTTGTCGCGAAATCATTTACTTTCGTGAACCGACATGACATATTTTATTTCCCACTTCTTTAATTGAAATATGACAACATCGTTTGATCAATATCTGCAAATAAAAGCTGAACTTCTTCCTTTCTGAGCCATACACTGCAGATATTTTCTTAGGTATGCATCATACAGGTAAATCGAATGAGAAGAAAACTTATGCAATGAATTGAAACCAAATAATTCCATAATATCAAATAGACTTTTCCCATAAATGTAAACAAATTCCATAGCATCAACTAAACTTTTTCCGTAGACTACGTGTGATTTAAACTGCACGTATACCTCAACTTTGCATAAAATTATTTCCATTATACGTTTTCTGATTTTTTTATGACCTAACGAGTCATTCTTATGTGTTGATTGAAAATCATTCTTATGTGTTGATTGAACTGCACACCATTTAATTGTATGGAACATATCTGTTGTTGCAGATTGTAAACAAATTAGTGAAGTAAAGAGAGTAGGTAAGATAAACAAAATGAGCATAGGAAGTGAATATTTCAAACAGGCTTACGTAATAATTCTTCAACAGTGGTAGTATCATATTCAGTAGCAGTATCATATCCACCTACAATCTTCAAATATCAGTGACTCCTATACACAAAATACAGCAGAAATCAGAGAAGCAATTCACTATTTTAAGGAAAACAGCACCAAACTTAATTTTTCTTAAAATCTAAGAAAAAAATCCCACAGAAACTTCCGAAATCGTTATTTTCAATAAGTCCATACTTGCTTATTTACAGTATAAAATAGAACTGAATCAACTACAATGCAAATGTCCATAACCAAAAATTTCTTACCGTTTAAATGCGTAAAGATTTACATTTACCGCTGTAGTCTTTAATAGTGTGCTCGAGTAAATGCTCGAGTAAATTTTGCATTTATGTACAGTAAAATATTGACAAATTGTAAATTTTCAATACTTTTTATCCTAAGGTATCTTCGTAACTGGTTTAATAATTCGAACACGACCGTATTTGGGCAAAATCGTGGTACTTTCTTCGCAAACTGCATAAATATTCCTATCTATCGTTTTTACAGTGACATCAGGAGAAACAATAGATGGCTCTGTTTCGTTTGCAAATTGATGGTTATCAGGGAACTGTTGTTGCTGTTCGTTATAGAACAAATGAACTCCATCATTTTGATCAAGATAATTTGTTTGCACAAAATAATTCCTTTCCACCGCAACAACTTCATCGGTTCCATCAATTATCACCTTAAAAATTGGGCATTTCAAAGAACCGGAAATTTCAGAAGAAAAAATTATTTGCATGATATATATACTTCAAAAAGATTCCGAATTATAATTTTCCCAAAACCAAACAGTCAGTAAATATATTTTAATCAGACAACAGGGAGGAAAATAATCAAAAGAAGGAGATTTACTTTTGCTATAGCACTTATAATTTCCAAGACAATGAATTATTTAGATTTTTTTAACCGACTGTTATAATATTACATAGATCACTGTTTGTACATCCATGAATTTCAATAATTTAGTTGAACGATAATGAAACTTTACTTCTTTGTTTTAATTCTGCATCTTCTTTGCTTTTTAACATTAAAATTCAAAACAATTAAAACGAGGAGAAAACAACAACCTTTCGACAATTTTCTTCGTTCAACAAGTCATCATCTTCTCTTTTTGCAATTCTAATACTGGCACATTCGAGCAAAGTATTATTATTTTCATGATCGATATTAACATATTCTTCTTCAGCCTGATAAAATTCACATATAGCACAACTATTCGAATGTTTATGCATTCATTTTTGTGGTGGTGTACAATTTGTATACGAACAAACTCTCCAAAAAAATTCATGATGTTAATTCATCAGCCATTGTTTAAATTCTGTGAAAAGAAACTCAATAATTACATAAATACATAAAAAATTTAGTCTCTAAATTTAGATGTAATAAAAGTGATAATAACGAACCTGTTCCCCATTTAAAACTCTATTTTCTATCCAAATTTTCTCTATACCACTGTTATTTGGTCTGCAACGTGCAACTTTCTTTGAACAGAATATAGCGAAAGAAAGAAATGAGGGAGAAAATGAGTTAGCCGGCTAAAATATTCGAAACAATATGAAAAATCCATAAGGATCAAAAAATTCCCATCTTTCTTTTCGTATTTCAGGTATATTCATTCGTTCCGTACGAATTATGGAACAGAATAATTTTCTGGATACCCTATTCATCCACTAATGAAAATTCATTTCATAAAAAATGAAATTTCGTTTTTTTTTTCTTAAATCTTAAAATACTTGAGTGCTTTTTCTATAATTTAGAGTCGTTTTGTAAATTTATAACTTAACATAATATATTTCAAAAGCTCACATTTCAGAAGACCACATTGTATTCCTCCTAGTTTCTTCTCTATCTTGTTTAACCATAAGAAGGACAGATTGGATAGCGTTATCAGCTTGCTGCGTAACATCTTTGTGCTCTTTTGCTTGATGCATTATCAGATAATGACGTCGTGTAAACATTCGGCGACAATTATTGATTGAACAACGATATCTGAAAAAGTACATGCCTTCTAAGTCAACAGAAGCAATTCTATACTACTCTTTCACCGCCCTTTCTATCTGTTCTTCAAAACTTATGACAATGAAACCTCTAAAGTATGCATACCTTTTAATACCTGCGTGTACGATTCGCTCATGCTCATTACGAGCTGATACTGAAACGAAACGTCGTCCACACTTCCATGTGCATTCAAATGGCTTCTCACCTAAAATTATTTCTATAAGATTCTGAAAACTAATTTTAATGTTACCTTATCGGATCTCTTCAAATTTTTTATACCTATTATTATTTAACGATATATCTTATATATTCAGTTTATGGTATATTTTTTTCACCTTTCAATAAAATATGATGTAATAACAGTTCGAAATGCATAAATGAAATTGGAACTGTTTCAGTGTAATTTCCTCAAATGAATGCAACAATCAGTTAAATAACTACTCGAAAAAGTTGTACTTTAACACGCAAATTATGATATGGATGTCATGATGTGAATATATGAGTATATGAATATATATCTATCATGATATGAATACACGATTTGAAATCTTTAATGCTCGTTTGTAAAATGACATAATAGTGACCAGTGGTAACACGTTTTTTAAGACAGAAAGAAGAAAAGCTAGCCTGTATGTGCACGTCGAAAGTGCACCCTCAACGGATTAGCAGTTGCAAATCGCATCCCACACAGAGCACATTCAAATGGACGTTCACCGGTATGTGTTCGCATATGCGCTTGAATTTTAGATGGATGTTTCAGAAGTAAACCACATTCTTGACATCGAATTATCAAGGCTCTTTTTCGATGTGTTTTAATTTTTTGGTCCATTGGGAAAGAATTTGAAGCAACAATCTCATCGATTACCTACATCAGGAAAATGAAGTTTTCATACTGATAGAAACTGAAAGAAAGAAACTTCAATTGAAATTCTTGAGAAATTCTAGTCGAATAACTAAAAAAAAGTTAAATTGGATAACTATCAAACAAATTTCAACACAAGAATTTGATTTTACCATTATATGCTTTAGAAAAAAATTTGCGAAAAGCTGTTTTCTCTTAAAGGGAAGAAATATCCAATTCGATATACCTCATCCATTTGTCTATTTTCAATATCCAAATTTAATGATATTTGTTCGCTGGAATGTGTATGACGAGCCCTAGCAATTCTTTCAGTGTTATCATTTTTTTCAATTATGTTTATCGGCACCGAACACCTTGGCGGCTTAAGATGGGGCCGAGGTGGGCCACGTCTAAAATTCAAATTTTTCAGTCAGATATGGGTGTTGAGAAAAGATTCAATACCTCAACAATAAACCAAAAGATTTAATAACTCAAATAGTACTTTGTTTATTTTTTTTCCCTTTAATTCATCTATACTGTAGATCAGTAATTTGAATTCGCAATAAATTCACTATCACTTTGTAAATTCACGTCAAACCTTTTAGCTCCCATATGGGTTTTCAATTCATGCGCATTCTTCAGTGCATTTGAAACGAAACGTTTACCACATCCCCATGAACATACATAAGGAGTTAATCCCATATGACGTCGCACATGCATTCGCATTGGTGTACGCTGTGTAAACCTGCAGATATGACATAAACCTACATTTCCCAATAAAATGAAAAATTGCCACTAAAGAAGATAAAATAATACATATTTTTACGAAATCTAAGAAAAAAAAGAGACCTTGAACCACAAATCTGACACTGAAATGGCTTTTCGCCAGTGTGTGTCCGTCGGTGTGCTTCAATTTTCGAAGGATGTTTAAGAACAACGCCACAATATTCACAAGTGACTATCTAAATAAAAAAATTTTTTTTTTAAATGAAAATGTTCATATTTACGAAGGAATTTGGAATATGTTTCATATTTTCGACATCTTCCAGCCATATACTGCATTCGCTGAACTAACTAGTCGTTATTAGACAAAGAACAAAGCAGTTAAGTGGTATCAAATTCTCACATTCTGATAGATTCAACCGCACGAAATATATGATTAATACAAAAAATCTTAATTCTGCACAATATTTTAGTCAACATACAGTAGCCTTTTTTCTGGAAGATGATGATGTCACTGAGAGCCATTTTTGCTGAATAGTACTACTGCTCATCGGTGTTGAAATTGAGAAATCCTAAATTTTTTCCAATTTGAAATGGAGTAGTCTTTGGCCGTTAATAGAACTACAACTTTATTAGTATATTAATAATCACTATTATTTCACTACTGTTACAACCTACCAAGACCCTACTCATTTCATTAGTACATCAATTAGAATATTAATTAGACCTAGCGATTTAGTAAAGTATTCGTCTAATGAATGCCAGAGTGAAATCAATGATCCTATCTAGGAACGGTGGTGGAATGAATTGTTTTGCTCATGAACTCGAACTTTCAATAATTCAATATTTCGTAAAAAAAACTAAGATTCCATCTGCCGCAACCAAATCTGAGACTTTTGGTCCAAACTGATTCACTATATACTATTCCAAATGTTATGCAAAAAATTTAAGGAAAAAAAATTTTTAAAACTCTCACTTCATTTAGTCCGATTCCGAAATGAGACAAATCAGCACTAGCCACATCATCGATGACAGCAGTGAGCCGTGCGTCAGCATCAAAAGCTTTTGCCAATGAACTGGCAAGCATCGGATCATTAGCAGATAAGTAATCATGTTCTAGTGATGACCTTTCCAGAGTTAAATCAAAGCATACATCATCTTCCACATGTGAACGAGTTACTTCACATGCCTCATTTGCATCTTCCAACATCTCAAAATCAAAAAGTTAGAAAAATAAATTTAATTACTGAATGTATGATAAATCACGATAAAAATCAATTGCAATCAGTTATAAACCATTATCTCCTTTCCCTGTCTTGAAGAAATCCATTATCATAAAAAAGAATTAAATAAGTCCTTCGAAACAACCACTATTAATACCAAAATAAAACGTCATGTCATAAGGATATTTAGCAAGAACAAAATAAATTTTAATCTTTAAAAATAAAAACTAATTTATTTATTATGCTATATTGTTATATTACCAATGTATCATTTTGCTCATATTTCTATTTTTAAACAAAACATATCCACAAAATGAGATCATTAAAAGAGAGAGAGTGCGTATTATTACAATATGAAAAAACATATTGACTAATTAATATAATTTGATTAATTATTGACGAAACTATTAATTTATTATTAAGCATGTGCACGTTATCAGATATACCATCAATTTACCATTTTGATGTATATTGAGAAATTTAAAAACTTATACGTTAAGCCATCTATTCTTACCAGGTATATTTCTTTATCAAAGATTATCAGTTTATTGCCAGGCATATTGGAAATCAGTTCTTCGTCAAGCATATTATCAGTCTATTAACGATACACGATCAATATCAACTCATGGCCAAATACATTACCGGATTATTAGTGATCGCTTTACCAGTTTGAATTTATGAAACGGAAAAAAAAAAGAGAACGATTTCCACATGAAGTGAGTAAATTCAAAATGATTACTGGAAATCAACTCAAGAAATTCCTGAAAACTTGTTCCAGTCATCTTTTTTTATGTTTGCTATTTCTACTTGATTTCATCACATTTCTTGTGGCTTGACTTCATAGAACGATAATTAGATGCATTATTTAGTTCGGAAGATGGAGCAGATTTCAAAAAATAATACGTTGCTCTCAAATTTCACAAATTATTCATCAATCAGTAATCGAGTTTTCCAACACTGCTACGTAAAAAATTACTTTATGCTCGTCGATGTTGAGTTAAGCATTGAAACGCCGTGCACTTCTTGAAGTTTTACTGTAATTTATTTTCAATAGCTATGTAGCAGACCTAGGCTGATGAACACATTTTCTACTAACTTTCGACTTCTTTAAAATTAAAACTGGGATTTGCCCAAAGCGTTGCGTCCCCATCAGTACCAGGATCTAACCGCTGTACTCACAAGTCTTAACCGGGTCCGAATGCACTCCAGTAAGTGGAAACAGGCCGCAAAATACCTAGCGCGAGCCGCGTTGTATTTTACAATGCCGAATTCCATGGTGCCTAAAATGGCCCACTCCTAGTTTGAATTGGGTTCATTAATTTTGTACCCCTATAAACCATTAATGTTAGGAAGTTTGCTGCGGTGTGCTGTTTTACTTGGGTCGGTAGATAAACCTTTCTAGTGTATGTTCATAACCGAGAATTATCCGTGAGTTATGTAGCATGAATGTTTCTTGGTGCATACCCCTACTTACCGCTGTTGTAGCACACCTATTATATGACATTCTTATATGCTAACTAGATCTTATGCACCGTCCGAAAAACCGAATGATGCTTACTGCGCTAATTCATCATGACTCTAAGGTTTCTAAATTTTACTTTGAACACCAAAAGAGAAAATTTTGAGGTTTGGGTGTTGTGCTCATTGCGCTATTAACGTTTTCAATGTATTCGTTTAAAATCTAGACCTGCTGCGGCGTTTATTGGGCATATCTTTGTTGTACTATTTGTCGCAACCTTTCTCTGAAGATCTTCATCATATGTCGTAATTTCAACTTTATCAAGTTTTCTATGGTAAAATTGAAATTATAATATATGATTGAACATAGGCGACATAATTCGTCTTTGTATTTCCCTCGGTTTTCTTATCTCTTGTTTTCACTTTCGCTTTCCTCATTTTTTACTCATTTTTTAGCAATAATAAGTTCTTTGTTTTCAAGCAAAATGGTGGACGTAAATCAGCTTACCAATGAAGAGATTCGAGACCAACTTAGGATACATGGCTGTGATCCTGGACCTGTCGTTGGGAGTACTAGAAATGTCTATGCAAATAAGTTACGGCGTTTGCTAGGAGAATCAGATGTTGCAGTGCCACCTCAGGTACGTTCCTGAAGCAACATTAAAGTTTCAACTTATTTCTGTTATGCTGACTAGATTTCTGTGAAAAAACTACTGGAACACAATGTAAAATAAAATTGCTAAATTTCTCCATTTCTGGAGCCATTTCTTCTTCACGACAACTCGTTATTGATTATAACTTGTCTCAATCTTTATGGATGTAACTGTTTCGTAGAAATGCTCGCTTATCTTCTCATTGACATCACAAGCTAATAATTTTGAAGTGAAAGAAATTACTTGAATCCATTAATGAGAGTGCATGTATATGGAAGATATGAAGCATAACCAGTATGGTAGAAAGATTATTACTGAATATCGTCACAGCTTAGCAATATTAGAATTATGTATTATAAACTTTGGATGATTTTTGTAATAGTCTTTATCCGGATATTTCTTGTTAGCTCCAGTTTTTTTTTTGTTAAGTGTTGCCACATATGAATAGCTTGTCTTACATTATTCCAAACCAACTAAATCAGTTATCTGGTACAAATCAAAGTAAATGATAATTTTAAATAATAAATTTTACAGAAAGCAGCATCTGATGCTGCAGGAACTGGCACTTTTAAATCTTCACCAAAACGTGGAGATATATCGCACAGTCCACAAAAGTCACGCTCACCAGTGCGTGCTACGCGTTCTTCAGCTCAAGAAATATCCAATCTATCAAAGGTTCAAAATACACCGCTGAATTCCAAGATATCGCGTGCGTCATCGAAAACTACGGATGTTTCTTCAGTGAACTCACATATAATTTCCGATTCTAAGCAGTCATCACCGAAGACACCTGTTATTCAACCATCTGTTCCTACTCCTCCGAAATCCCATCCAGATCTCGAATTCGGAACTTATACGAAAGTAAGCACAGTTCAAGAATCCAACCGTCTGCCATCAAAAGCAAGCATGACTTCTGAGTCTCTGGATTCAATCTCAAGTTCTTTCAAAGTACCCAAGCCTTATCCATTTGAAACAGTACCGAAAGTTTACCGCACTACACCTACAACACGTTTTACATCCTTGCGAGTAAGTACATGCCGCTGAGTAATTTTCTTTGAGTTTTCTCTTTTCATTTGAAAAATGATTCCTTTTTTTCAAAGGTCGTCGTTTCTAGTTAGTAAAGCTCTGGTAGAGCGCTTTTGGCCTGGACCTTGAAAGTCAATGGTTAGGCATCAGAAATTTTTATGATCCTAGATTTCATCCATTTTTGGTATCAAATTTAAAACTATAACATGACATCAATGACGTCCTTTTTTGCTCCTGTAATTTATAATTTTCACGCAGCTGTGATTCAAATATCATTGAATATTTTGATGGAAAAATTTTTTCAATTTTATATAATTTATAGGATAATTGGGGGGATGGAAAAATTAGCGATGGTTCAGATGATGATTTACGTGGTGAAGAAAGTTCACGTACTTTGTTGCCTAGTTGGAAAGAGGATCATACGTATTCGGCTCGATACGATTCAAAACAGAGCCCAATGGTACAACGTTGTCTAAATGAGAATTCTACTGCTCACTATAGTCAAGCGCCACATTACAATTCAGGAACAGTATTTGAAAATTCTTACAATGGTTACAGAAATCAACGCAGTGGTTTGCTGGATAAGGAAAAAACATCGCAAAGCTATGGAAAAATCGGTTTCGCTCTTCTTTTCATTATTACATCAGCAATTTTTGTGTTCTTCGTCGTGCAAAACTATGTCGAACTAGAACGTGGCGAAGGTAACAAAGAAGAATTTTAAAAGTTCTTTTTCGGACTTTATCGAAATGCTAAACATTGACTTCGGAATAAATCTGAAAATCAATGTTTAGTGTTTTTGTAGAATTTTTTGAAACACATTTGGATCTATCTACATCTGTCTGACTATTATTATTCGCTTTTAAGCAAGAATTCGAAGATTTCGGAATTTTCACTCTTTTTTTGAAAACTGTCTTACTTTAATCTTTTTTTCGCGAAGTTTAATATTTTTAAGCTTTAAAGTTTGTGTTTTAAACTTCTCAAACGTTCTCAAACTTATGAAATTAAGCTTGTTCACGTTTACAAATACTTTGCTACATTTTCTCGTGGGCAAGTTCACTCTCTCTGCCTTCCTTTCTAAGACACTTAATATCCAGCTTCGAATTCCTCTTGACAGTTTTCAAATTTTAATTTTTAATTTGAATTGTAATTTAGATTTTGCGTTTCAAGTTAATGTATGTAGAATGCAAATACATTCCGAAATTTGTTTTGTTTAAGTTTTGTAGAATTATTTATCTTGTCTTAGTGATGTAGCGTACGTCTTTTTCTTGATTGCCTCACAATTTGGTCATTTTGCTACTTTGCAGTTCTTGAGGATTTATTCAGGGTTTATTCAGTTGCTGGTTTTCATCACTCATTTTTCTGCGTTCAATTGTTTATGCTTCGATAGAAGATTGAAAATTTCATCCATTTATTAATTTTATTGTTTGGCATGAATGACGTACGTAAATTTGTTTCATGTTGCTATCATTTTAGGTATTTGCACTATCATATGAAGCATGTTGAGTATATCTATAAAAAGTATGTCTTCTGTTTTCTATGAAGCATATGAGTTTTTTTCATACATCCCAAATTCTGATGCTTTGCTGCTGTAGTGCTGCTCAAAAATTCCTACGCAGACTTCGTGTATCCGTTTTATTTGTCAATTTTTTGTTCTTTTTATTCTAGAGTTTTATGGGGAAGATGATGGTATTATTTTACTGCGGGATGCGCGATATCATCTGAACCAGCAGTTTGTTTCTATGAGGCTAATAAGGTAGGTAATAAGATAGGATAGTGGGATGTATGTGAGGAGGGTTTTGAAACTTTTAAATATTTGGAAAACTAAGGGTGGTTTTCAAAAAACTAGAAAGTCAAATTTTTTTTTCGGATATCTAAGGAAGTTGGAAAGAGAAAAAGGAGATTTTGTGGGCATAGACTTACACATATTCTTATATATAAAGGAAAACGACTTGGTTATTTAAAAGTGCAGAGGACTAAATTTCTACTATTGCTTTTTGGTTAATTACCTAAGGTTATAACTTTTGTAGAGAATTGGTTAAAAAAATTTAATTCACTAAAGCGAAGTTGAATATGGTTGCGCAAGATGAATTAAATGAGGTTACAACTTTGCTTTTAAAGTGGTGATCAATTAGGTTTTGGCATTGAACATGCAAGTGCATAATAATGATATAATGATATACTGATATATCAGTAATGAATTCTAGATTTTTTCCTGTTATTAGATGTCCTTGCGATATTTCACGAGATTTGGATGGCATCTTTAAAAAAAATAAACCTGAGCTTGATTTTGCGGTAGATTATAGATTGTAAGGATTGAATAAATTTGATTCGTTTTGTAACGGCAGTAGTAAATTGGTAATCCGTATTAGGTGGTTTGGTACTTCTCATGCATTTTACATCTTTGATTTCATTACGAAATTCATGAATCTGAAAACAAAAGACATCGGAACTATTTTCAGTAGTATTGGTCGAAACATTGTTGTACGATCGTTTTAAAATTCGTTAATTTGTTAATAAAGCAGACTATACATCTACACCGCAGCAGTTACAAATTACTCATATTCTAGTGATTGCCATCGCAACACATTACATTTCCAACGAGTTCATCGTGTTTGTTTATGCGCAGCATAAACATGCGCAACAATCTTCGAAACTCATGCAATTTAATATCCAATTTAATATAAATTTAATAATTTCATGTTCGTTTGAACATGCTTAAATTGCATGAGTTTCGAAGATTGTTTAGTGTAACTTTATGGTGTTCACACATCTAAGAGTTAAATTATTAACTGAAGAGGGAAACATTTGTTCGTACAAATTCCGGAACACTGTAAAGGAAGTGTTCCCGGATCTTTGTTGGCATAAACATTTGTCTTCTATTGCAACTAACATGTCTAGCAGGAAAATCCTGAAATAGCTCAAAAAACGTACGACCGTACACTGATTCGATATTTCGTGATGTGATGGATATAGTCAAAAGGTGGGGCTTTAATTGAATACGATTTACATTGGAATGTTTGATAGATAGGTACATTGGAATATTCGAATAGGAGAAATAATAAAACCAAATAAATCTCTTATTTATCTCAAAATCTGCTATTTACAGTTGGCTGAATCGCAAGTTGTAGCTTTGAAAGCTATTTCAGAGCTGAAGAATGCTCAACTGGAAAGTCTGATTAACTACGACGCGAACATGTGCACACATATATTGCAGATTGGATGGACACTGAGAGGGCAGTAGACGAATTCCTAATGTTCAAGCGCACTCTTTTAGCTTAACTTGAATGTTTTGCTGGGCAAAGCAGAATAACGGACAGCGAGTCATCACAGGTGCCGCCTGCTACTTGCTATCATCAATGCATGCATGCATGCATCTATGTATGTATGTGTATGTGTGTCGTTGCAAGGGACAGACAAATATGTGGAAGAAGCGTTGCGGTTTTTGGGATAGACAAATGGTGTGCTTACAGTGGTTGAAGAAGCTGCGGTTGCGATGCGGATAGTGGTAGTGTAGCGATTAAGTCTAACCGCATGATTCAATGGATTCCGAGCCTAACCTGGCTTGCTTTGACTTAGCCAAGTATAAAAGATTTCTCTGTAGTGGTACTCTCCGGACATAGGCATTCTCCTCAAATATCTGTTTTTTACCTATTTCTCTCGTAAGAACATTCGAAGCAAACGCTGTTTATTTCTGACTGTAAGAATGCTAACATCCCGTTCCTTTCCGTGTATTTTTTTCCTTCCCTTTTCTCTTCCTTGACAACAATCTTTGAAGTCCCGACTAATAAGAGAGAGAGAGAAGCAGATACGAGAAATGGATGAAGCTTTGAATGATCGCATTCGAGAATGGCAAAATTATACGTGTTAGCCTGGGAAAGTGCATGTGGTGCAAATAGCTTGCAGACATATAAACGGGTGAGTACGGAGAGAGAGAGGGACTTGTTGTCTGCAAAATTTCTTCACAAGGTTGACAGGCTCTTATAGATATTACTTCTATTTGATTCAGTCTTATTTCTAGCATGCCAGACATGCATGCATACATATCTCTGAGAACAGCTTGCACGAAATAAGATCTACACACACATATATATTATATATATTATATATATGTATATATATATATAATGTATATACATGTATAATTAGTGTGATGTATATGTATGTGTGCGATGTATGTGTGTGTACGTATACACGTATGTATGTATGTGTATGTCTATACTGCGGCATTCTGGAAGATGTAAAAAGGGTTTCGGACGTTCGGTTGGATGCGGAGAGGAGGGGTATTTATCAGTAAGCCACGTGTCTCACAAGCCCTGTCATGTTTGTCCTCTCTTTAAGGCATTCCCGATCCTCCGATCCTTTCCCCATCTATTTCGACTATGCTATTCCCTCCCTTCCTTACTTTTGCTATTTTCTCACATATACACAGACATACACAGACACACACACATACATAATACACCAATTTTTCTATCAATGCCTGTTCATCATTGACGTCGTCGTCGGCGTCGTTGTCGCCGCCACCGTCCCCGTCGACATTTTGACTAACAAGACATAAGTTCAAAATGGCAATTCCACTTTTGTGTGTGTGTGTGTGTGTATGTATGTATGTGTATGTATGTGTATATATGTATATGTATGTATGCGAGTGTGTTTGTTAGCAAGTCGGTGTATGGCTGTGTGTTCGTTTGTGTTTGTGTCGGTGTATGTAGATTATGTATAAATGGACCGCTTTATTTCTATTTCTTACCGCCAAATCGTTGAACGTATTTTTATTTTGTTCTTTTTTGATTTCCTTTTGTTTATTTATATACGTTTCACGCCAGTCAAAAATTACGGCGTTTGCGCTTAATAAGTACATTTTTCTTAATTCCTAAATATAGCTTTATAGCTAGTTTCTCTCATCTAACTTACTGAATTGTTCGCGTGGAACTTTGCGAAAGTTCACTAACACTGCCTTTCGTAGTAAGTATATCATATTATTTCGTTTGTATTGGATAATAGTGAGCGAATCATCCGGAATCAAACCAGTTGATGTTCAAAATCACTCATTATCAACGAACGTTAAAAATACTTTTATTCTAAATTATGTCAACTTATAGAACTTCTAGTGCATTATTTGATGAATATACATTTCATGCTCTATACATGTTATATAGTTTGCTATCATTCTTTGATTTTAATAAGGGTTTTATCTCATGTCATTGCAACGTTCAATACTGTTTTTAATAATGTTGCTGTTTAGTGGTTAGATATATTGTGCATTTTTCATCTTCGATACCGCTTTTCATCAATGGAGCACGAAACATACACTATTATAATGCATTCAGTATGTTCAAATTCCATTCTAGGTTAACGATTGGTAAAGAGGTGCAGTCTGTGATTGTGGAATTCATTGATACCTCCCCTTGTCTTCTTGGATGTGGACTGTCGGGCCGCCATTCCTCCCAACGGATTTTAGCGAAATTCCGGAAAACTGTTGCAACAACTAAAAACTTGATTTTGCTATTATGCGCTGATTTGGTTTGTAGATTTCATTTTCTTACTTATTATCTGAAAATGAAAGCGAAAAGTATGATATTTCGTTCGGGAGAGAAATCTGATTTTTAATTTCACAACGCAAAGGAGGGAAACGAAAACTTTTCAACTCGTAAATTATTAAGATTTTTTCATTTATATGGGACGCCGCAAATATCATAAATAGCAATGAATAAAAGTTAAACAGAAAAAATTTACTTTAAGAATTTTGTTAAACTATATTGTAGTTTGTATGGCTGATAATTGAACATTTTTCTTAATTTTATGATACCGTATTTCTTCCGAATTTCGCATTAAAAAAGTAGTCGAAAATAAAGTGATATGTACTTTATTGTTATTGTGATATTTTGGATGCAAAATTTGATGAGTATCGAAAATTCGCCAATATGTGATAATCAGAAATTTGACTTTTTCTCATATTACCAGGTTATCCAAATTCAAATTTAAAAAACAAATTAGAAACTTTCCTTTCTGATCACTGAAGATATTCCTTTTTTTAAGCTATCGATTTGCTGTTTTGCTCTTTGCGCTACTTTTTCTCGCTATTCCGTTTTCCACTACTATTTGCTTCACTTTTGCTGCGATTTTGCCGTTGTATTAATTTCACTAATAATTTTACTGTTTTGCTGTTTGGCAACTTGCTGAGTGCGCGTCACTGTAACCGTACGTGGTACTCGGTGTTTTACGCGACGATTACGCAAAACCGGCAAAACTGTTCATTTTACGGGCAGCCAAAACGGCCCCGATGGCCTGCTGCCTTTCCGAGGAGGCAAGGGAGCAGAAACGTATAAATCAAGAAATCGAAAAGCAATTGCAACGTGATAAACGTAATGCCCGACGTGAACTCAAACTTCTGTTACTTGGTAAGTTTTGCATGTTCTTATCCCTTTTTCTTGTTTCTCTTTATATTTCTCTTTTCATTCAGATTTGATCGAATCTCAATTTATCGTTTGTTACATTTGTAGGAAATCAAAGAGGAGATAAGCTGATAAAATATAACTATATGAAATATAGCTCATATTTGAGGATCACTTAGTTAGAAAAGAGAAGTAGCAGAAAATTTGTTACATCAGTTTTTTTGTAGATTACCAGATGGAGTTTGGATTATTGGTCTAACTCGGAACATTAGCAGTTCATGATGTTTTTTTACTTATTCATACATTGATTTTGTTATTTCATACGTAATGTAGGTCCCGATGATTATTCATCATTTACAAACAGTTGCTGTTGCGCATAAAGTTCACGAAGTTTGTCTTCAAAATGGTACATTTGTACCATTTATTCTTTGAAGTCAACTTTACCTAATGAGATCTTGTGCTTTCAATATTCAGGGGGCAGAAAAGTTATGTTGTCGCGATAAGAGTAATTTTTCTTAGGTATACTGCTATTTATAGGATTCCTCCATCTTGCCTTGTGTTTCGATTTAAATTGACGCTTTAAATTATCCACTGTATGTAATATTTTATAGAACTATCAGTAAATATGGAACTTCTAAAATAATTGGCAGGTCAGGTCTTTTTTGCACTGGATTTTTTGTGTTTGTGGCCATCAATCATTTACAAAGTTTTTGATCGGGACTTCGTTCTTGCATCCCTAAGCGTTATTTGATTAAATTTAGACTATTAATTTTATATTTCAGTACGCTATTCTTTACATTGTTAGGCATTCTTGATGACTGCTGCCTCAAATTTTTTGCAAGTAATCACTTGCAAAAAAAGCCGGAACTCGTGGAAATTGAATGTTTCATTGTTTGAAGGGAAGGTGAAGATTTGTCTTGATCGTTATCCCTGTTCTTCATATTATCATTTTCAGTTCCAGGCTTAGGATCTCAGTCGTCATTAAAGATAAGTTGTGTTGGCATGTATTTTGAAAAGCAAAGTAGTATGGCTTTTTATTTCTCCAAAAGCTTGTTTGACAAATTCATAAAACTTTCCACCGACATCTGTCGATTACAATTGCCACACCTCAAAAAAAATCAGTCAATAGCTTCTTTGCGAGTAGTTTGTGCTCTTGGTTGATTACTGCATTTTAGATGCAGGATTTATAGTCTTTTTAAATATCTCAAAATTAAAATCCAACTTGAAATAGATCAAGTCTATCGGTTGCTGTCGTATCTTTTATGAGCTTATTCGTTGTCTTTGATTTGAGGATTTATTGTCCAAGAGATATTTTCTCGTTTGAAAGGAATCATAAATGCCGTATCGACTGATTTTTTTTAATATGATGCGAGCAATTTATTTATCCTCATCTTTAACATCCTAAATCCACCGTTCAATATTTGTATCTATTTACATTTTGTACTTATGTATAAAGTTTTGAAACTCTAATTCTAAAAGATGTTTGTTGCGCTATATTTTTTGAACTCTTTTAGACCAAACTGATAATCAGCTGATAATTATTAGTAGACAGGAAGCATTGGGCGCCACTCTCTCCGCGCTCAAATTCTCCCACCTCTCCAAACATTAAGTGGAAGAATTTGATTTCGTAAAGAGAAAAGCAATTCTTTGTCAAATTGTTATGTTCCTTTCTTCAATTGTTTTGAAACTTCAAATGATGTTTAGTTTGCAATAAATTAGAAACTAGCATTTTAGGAATTTATTTACTTTCGATCATTTCGTTACATGCGTTCTTTGAATTTTCTTTTGACCATCATTCTAACCACATTCTCCAAGAAGCAATGATTATCTTTTGGATCTTTGCTACTTCCCCTGACAATTTTCTTTGAATACTGAAAAATATTTCCTAGCGTATTTCTTATAAGTGCAAGTTGAAATTATTAACTCTGAGGATAAAAAGAAAAGTCACATTTGAAGAGTCGTAATAGGAGTGATTTATTGTAGTAAGAGGAGTGAAAGTTATGGATCTCATATTATATGAAACGAGTTTAATAATCTTTAAAATCTTTAAGTCTTGAAATTTTATAATGGAAAATACAAAAAAAAAATCTTTAAAATTTTTAGTCTTTGTAGTGGGGAATACATTTCAGCTTCTTCTTCTCCATGACACACATAGTCTCTGTTCTCAAATTTCCAGTGGTTTTGTTTAATATATGCTTATAAAAATAATTCAAGTATTCCGAATGTAGAGACAATAATCATTATGATATTGCGACTTCATTTTATGATATTAAGAGCTTTATAATTACGAATGAATATAGTCTACATTTCCCGTTTAAAATTATTGCATACATTTTATATTTTCACGCAGGGTGACCTATTCACAAGCAGATGTTCAGTAACGAATGCCGAGCTGAGAACATACAACAACACCATGTAGTAAATAATTATTGATGTATAATTTATCTGGTCCAATAACTCTTTGAGTTGGAAAGTTGGAGTTCCTCTCAGAATTATCTTTAAAGTGAAAAATATAAACTTATGTTGATATGATGAAGAGAAAAATGATGAGAGGAAACTTCATATATTTGTGATAGAGTTAGGCTACAGTTCATTAAGGAAAATGATGAAGATTATTCAAAATTATCCGTTTATCGATCACCCGTAGAAAAAGCTGATAGTATCTGTTTGTCATCTTATCCGTTCTGTTTTAGCTATTCGCCAGTTAGAAACGTATCAGCACAAAAATGACTATGACTTTTGAAAGTGCTATTTCAGAAAATTTCAGCTTTTATCGTTAATCGTTCCACTATGCGATATTAAGCATTACTGAAAAAAATTAAATCTTCTAACAAAATATCGGAAGTATATTATTGCGAAGAATATGCTCATTTTTATCACGATCGTGAAGTATTTTCTCATGGCATGCTGTCAAATTATTTTTCATATACAGTATTTTCATGTATTATATTTAATACAGAGGTAGGAGATCGGTAGTTAAATTTATGATAGTAATAATTTGATTAAATTACTAATTATGTTTTAGATTTAGTTAAGGTTGTGCAAGTATGATTTGAATTTTTGGAAATTATTCAGGCATGTAATGATCACATTACATGCTGTCAATACTTTGCATTCGAAACGTTTATGTTAGTGTTTAAAATGGTGGCGGCGAACGAAATATAAAAATGAATAATAATTGCTGACTTCAAAGCATAGCTGCATTGTTTAATATCGGATACTGCTGAGTATGTTTCTTGAAATATTTATTTATCCTTACAGTGTGGTCATTGTTCAGAATTTCCATTTTTATTGCGGGAAACTCATTTGTTGCGTTAATCAGTTGTTTTTTATTGATTATATTACGGTTTTTTTTCAAAAACGTATTTTAGACCTTATTTTTATTGGCAGACACTTAGTTTTGAGGTTTAGAATGGATTGATACTGCTGATGGAATTATGAGATATTTTAATGTAGAATAATCAGTTGAGAATTGGTATCATAAGATAATAGATGGTATAGAATTAGCAAGCTGATAAGCAGACGAATATTTTGAGGGCTTAAAGTGCTCATGATTCATGTTATGAATCCAATAAGCATCACGGAATAGATGCAATTATATTTATGAAAATGGTAGATACTCTTCGATATTCGTTTATTGTTATTTGTAGCAAATGAAGTGTGTTTCTCTGTCTGTATATGTGTGTATAATAAAGTTCTTGTTGAGTTCTGAAATTCTGAAATTAATTGTGGTTGTGGGGAAGGGAAAGATTGGAAGGAAATATTCAATAATTGTGCCTTCTCTTTAATCTATGAATCAAAGTTTCTGTCAAAAAATGGAGAGTGGAAAGAAAACAATTAAATAGGCACTGTGGGGTGATAAGAAAGGTAATAGTTACTGATCGAATAATGAAGGAGGAAGGGAAATATAAAAAAGCTTTGTTTTTGTTTTGGATGGACAATGATAATTTTCACTTATGTTACTTGCATATTGTTGCTCTTGTACAAGCAGCGAACTTGTTTCGGGTCGATAGTTGTACTTATGGAGGTAGATAATTCTATGATATTAAAACCTCATGGCGTAGTAGAGGATACGCTAGTTAGTTTTCATGAACAACATACATCTTCTAATTGCTGTTGTGTTACTTTTAAAGAAGAAATATAGTTTTAATCTGATAGAGTAAATTTTGAATAAAATGAATGCGGTGCTTGATGACCATGTAATGACGCATGGTTTTTGGCCAATATTACTGCTGTATGAACATTCTAGCTTAAAAAAATTTGTCAAATATTTTGTGTCGCAACGACTCATCACGATTTCATCTAAATATCTGTTTTTACCTTAAGAACTGTATGGTAACAAAGTTGCTACATTACGATGGATGTAGGCAACAGCTCAAATGAATTTGTTCATAGCTGTTTTGATGAGAAGCTGTTACGAATCCTTTTAAGAATAAATCCTCTCGTTTATCTTGCTTCTCTACTCCTTTCTGTTTGTCTTTCTTCCTTGAAGTTTTTTCCTTCTTTTGTATTTAACAAACTGTTCTTTTTATTTCTTTTAGATCCTGTTATGAAAGTTCCTTGAGTAAAAAGCTGGAGTTTATGATTAGATCCGGTTGTTAGCATATTAATTTTAGCAAATTCCAGACGTTTTAGCTGAGATATTGGATGTTTTCATTAAAAGCGTTCATCCAAGCTGTTGGTATGAGTTGCAGCTGCTTATATATAATGGATTAAATTATTCTGTATATAGGTGCTTATAATTATAAAACGTCATATATACTACGAGATTCTTGGAAAACTTGATCAAACTGGAAATGGAACAAGTTTTCATAATGCTCGGAAACTTGAATTTATTCATGAAAAAGAAGTTATGGTGATAGTTTAAGAAAATTTAAACCTTTTGAATGGAATTTTGTTCGCTGAATTTCAGGCATTGATATAAATAAAAATGAATAAATTTATGTCTAGCTAGTTTGATAAAAGAAATCGAGATCTAAATTTTGTATATAAGTTGTATATTGAAATCAGAGAGAAAAGATCGGAGTGTTTTCATCAAGCGTCATCGGAGTTAATCACAAGCAATATTTCTTTCATTGTTTCTTATTGTATTCTTTAAATTCTTAAACTCTTCAGGCTTATAAGTTCTATGCCTGTCTTGAAATACAGTCCAAAAAATTTATGAGCCAAAGGTAGTAATATATTGGTTATATTTTGGTCTTTGCTGTCCAGTTGAGCGAATTATTCCATTTTAAGGCTTTGTCATATTTTTAGCTCATGTCTATGCGCAATTAGATTTTAAAATAGTTCGCTTATGCGTCGTAGGGAAATAAAAAATGCTCCTTTCGTGTTCCAATTTCGATATCCATGTTGTGTCGTTTTTAGTCGGAAAGTTTCTGGATCCTATAACACCATACACTGTTAGTCGATTAATCCAAGTGAGCATGACAAATTCCATAATATACTGTTATCATTTCGATTTGTTACTTGAATGAATTTCAAATTTGCAATCATTTTATAAAAAGCTTTGTTTAATTAATTTTATTCCGATTACTGAACTTCCTCTTTTTTTTCAGAATATCATTGCTTGTTGTGCTCAGAAGCAAAAAGCTCTTTTCTCTTTCCTGCCAGACATTTTCATATCTGTTCTGTCCGTGTGTGTGTATATATATGTGTATGTTTCTGTGTGTGTGTGTGTGTGTGTGTGTTAGCTGAGGGAAGCGACAGTTGTTCCGGTGAATACATTGAAAATGTGATGTGTTGTGTGAGGGAGGAAAACAGATTGCCATGTCTGAATTTTATTCCAAATAAAAGTTACACTATTCCCTGAACTTAAACGTAATTTTTTCCGCTTCAAATAAAAATGAAGCGATAATTTTCTGCACTGCCAACCTTATGAAGAGAGTCATCGAAAAAGA